TGTAGTTTTGAATTCTCGAAACCAGCCAGCGGACTACTGTAAAGAATAGCCTAGCCTATACAGGTTGAACTGTTTGACCCAACGGACCTCTCTTAGACGATATTTTATCTATAGTATTGCCAGATACAGTGGATGCGTCCAAGCTACTAGTCCATAAGTAAATTTTATTGTTCGTTGCTGCACAGGGCATTTTCAAGTATAAGCAAATGTACATGCCACACGTGATTAATCAACCGTCACTTAACTTTCGACGAAAAGTATCAAAAGTTCAGTAACATGTTGTGCCAACCCCTGCAAACTTCTCTGTGCACTTTTTGTATTCAAGCACAAGCTCGAAACACTCTTCCAATGTACGTATATAGTCAAAGCTCAATTTTGTTCGTGAGCCTACGAATTTGGAACAAAATCCCTAAAAAAAAATACGGGCGCGATAATGGCAGAAACTCGAAACGTTTTACTTCCACAAGTACTGGTATGAGCATCTGCAATGCTTTATTTTCGATGGGCGAGGCAAAAAATGGCTGACATGCACAAACACGTATTCATTCGTACTAGATTTACATATGTACATTTCATCTGTATACATGCATGCATGCATATATGTTTATATACGTGTATGGGTGTATAGCCTTTGACCTTAAATCCAGGTTTTTACAGTTCAGGTTCTTACACCCATACATACACACACATACGGTTTAGGCGAAAAAGGCAAAAGCACGAACTGCGTTGGTTTCCCAAACTTCGGAGGGTGGCAAAGTCGGTTAGTATGCACGTAGCACATATGTATTGTATCAGAATATGAAATGAACATAATTATGAACAAGCAAAATAATTTTAAATTCTGTTCTAGCGCATTGATTAGTCGGACGGTCAAGGCTCGACTGCCGACTGTCTTCTCACTATTTCCTTTTGCAAATTACCCAGCGACTCTACTGTGTTCCGTATGTGAATATAATTTTTATTTCTGAACTAAAAGACCTGCTTTGCTGGAAATAAAGAATGTGCATAATTCGAAGTAAATTGAACTATAACCGATGTTTTCGAATAGATGAGTCAAGCCATCAAGACATAGATAAGCCAAAGGGACTCACATACCCGATTATAGGTCCGTAGTGTTGACAGACATACTTAATATGACCAAGCTACGCTTATGTGCTCTCTATTATGTCTATAGTGTGAAGAACATTGCCATTCTTTTTGCAAATTGACGTAATCGGTTTGGCCCCTTGGCCATTGTCGACTGAAAGATCTGTAGCCTTTCTACGCCAATTAAGTATAGCTTTTGTCTCTCGAATCTTGGACGGCGTTTATGGCCTCTGTGCGGGATAGTACAATCGTTTGGTAGCTTATGACTTTCTTATCTCTAGTTCAGTAGAAGGAAGTCCTCCTCAAAGCACTCCTGCATTATATGAAGAGCTTTATGCATTTCTCAGACCTTTTTTCCGGCCATTCGTTTAAATTGTATTGACAAAAGCTTCTCCAAAGTCAGGCGAAGAGTTACGTAGCGTATTCGGTTCAAAGATCCAGACACCCTGGAACTTTATCAGTAATAAGCCTTCCAGCAATGTTCACAGTTACTATACGACATTTGTTGCTAAGCAGCAAGCTTGGAGTGAAGCGTAACGCACAACAGATACTAATGAGATCTAATTTGCTAATCTAACTCTTGCCAGCGATATTCAAGATTTGAAGCTTTGGTTAGGTGGATCCAGCCTACTAATCTAGAAAACCGGTCCCATCCCTTACCGATAGCGCGCTGGCAGCGATTTAGGGTAACCAATGATACTTTCTTAACTTTTTACTTAACATATGAGTATTTATGTATTTACATGTGCTCAGAATTTCTCTCCTATAGAGCGAGCGGCTACATCAGCTGCCAACTTTGAAGTGCTTCAGATTTAACTTAATTTATCTGAAGGCACGAGTGTGTAGCGCAGTCAAGAGAAATGAACTGAAAAAATTTGTGCGAATTGGAAAAAAAAAAAATAAAAGGAAAAAAGCGAAAAGGAAAAAAATGGGGAGAAAATTGCAAGGCAGTAAAATTGTTTTGGCAACTTATCAAGGCAATAAAATTCAGTAAATGGTTACAAGATTGATTTGGCAATGTGTTTATTTTGTGTCTGCCTTTTTCCACATGTTACAATTCACACTCCACTCAGTTACGCACACATTGAACATAATACTTGCCGTACATTGATGTATATAGATATACGTGTACATATGTATGTATTGTATTAGTTCATTGCCAAAAGGCATTAAATCCTGAACAGGTGTAACCAATTGGTCACTTTGCTCATTAAGTGACCACTCCACTCTGACGATTTGACCCACAACTGTTGCAATAAATTAGTTAGTTATGTGTGTACGAGTTTGTATATTGTTAATATTTGTTCAATTATAAGACGTACTCATCGCCCCATACATAAAGGTATGCATCAAGCGGGTCAGCTGTCAGCTTACAACTTAGTCTTTCCGATTGGGTATCCGATGATATTAGTCTTATTCTAAATTAATTTAAGAGAATTAGATTTCCGTCATAACTTAAAAGTGACACCATTTTTTGTTTCAATCAAAAATAACGCTTAAATTTTATTGAAACCTTTAAAAGTATGCCTCATGATTGACAACTCTTGATGCACACCGTTTTTAATTCGGAACTAACCAAAAACAATTTTAACATATTCTCACAAGGGTACTGGAGATGAAAACAACATATTACGCTTTTCCACGAGAAATTCAAAAGAGCAATTTTGCTTGCTTTAATAAATGTCTTGCAACTTTCAAAATATAGGCTTGTCCAATTCGCGGTTTCAAAAGTACATGGCTGTTCCTGACGTCTATCAAATCAAAGTTGCTGTTTTTTTTATGTTAGTAAGATGGACCGCCTATCATCCCCACAACGCGGTACGTTTCATGCTTTTAAGGGGACATTATGGTGCATATAATCGTCCAACTACTCAAACATTTTGAAGAAATCTGAAGAGACTGGATCGGTCACTGAAGACCCGACGTTCTTAAGAGCTTTGACTTTCTTAAGGCACATTGTACCGTATTTTTAACTCGGACTACTACTTACTTCCACATAAAGTCCAGCTCTCACAACAACTAAAACCTGCTGACTATTCGCAATGTGATGGGACAACGCGAAAAACGTCGCTTCTGAGGATAAACCTTTATGGCTGAGATAGCGTCCAAAAAGTGGTCGAAAATAACCCCGAAAGGGTCGAAGGTTCAATCTTTATAAAAAAGGATTTTCATTAACATAATCATTTTTATTGCATTTTATTTAAGCACACACTTAGGGCGTGCCTATATGTATGTATATGTTCAGCATTTAATGTGTGTGACCGACAATTTTATTCTAGCAAATTTAAACTAGTGCATATTAAGATTTACACATTCAGCGCCCTCTATTGGTCGTTAGCTAACGGATATCTTGGGCGACATCTAGCAAGCGACAGGAGAACAGCTGCAGTGTTGTATCTCCCATCAGGAAAAATTTTCACATAGTTAGCTGTTGAAGTATATATTCACATACACAATTAAAAAAGAATCATCCCATACTAAACCAAAGGTAGGTAGGTCAGCAATAATACAAAACAAACAATCATCAGTTGTATTTTACATGGTTTTCTACATAATACGTATAATAATTAAATCATTAAATGAAAATATTTAAACTTAAAGTTTACCAAAAGAAATATTGCAATTTCGTAAAGTTTAGTAATTTTAATGGTCCCAGCATGTTATTGTGCCCGAAATGTCGAATGCTATTGCTATTATGCACCTGTATAATGTTCGTTATCGAGAACGTTCTAACAGCACAATTTAGAAGATATATGCGACCATAACTATGAAACTCAGTATTGACAACATCGGTATAAAATGAAACTGTGTACTTACAGAGGGATAAAAAGTGTTTGCACTCTGTATAAGTGCTGGAGTGGTGAGATAAGTATTTATTGAGTAACAAATAAACCTTGGCTACATATTTTAATACCACGGCTATATTAGTCGAGTGTTTGACTGTTTGTTGTTGTTGTTGTTGTAACCGCAAATTATTGCCCGAATTGGTTTTCGGGGAATATTGCGGCAGTGACAGTCCTTGGCCGGATAAAAGTCCGGGTAGTTCCGGTATAAAGACCCGACTCTCGCGGGAACTGTTGGGTTTTAGTCGCCTCTTACGACAGGCATGCCTTACCACGGGTAAATTCTTGAGCCCCTAACCCGCAGGGGTGGTTTGATTATTTGTCATACTGTGTGGAGGGACATGGGCTGGAATTCTGGCCAAATCTATGACATAACAGGCACGGTACAATTGAAAGTCGTTTTAGCGGCAACAAATCTAGAAAATTTTGATAGCCCGTGCAAAAGTACTATAGAAAAACAATTGACAATAACTTAGTTCAAACTAGATGTTGAATGAAACTATACAAGTTTTGTTTTAAATTATTATGAACATACAATAAAATAAACAAACAAACAGTAACGATGTAGTATTGTGCAATCTTCTTCTATTATACAAAGTCAATACTGTCAATACTGAAATTTGCCAGGTTATATCAGCCCACAAAATTTAAGGCATTTTCTGTAAACTTTAACTCCGTCAAAAATGTATGAATTATCGCTAATTTGGCAACCCTGATTGTTATCAATTTCACACATGCTTTCTCATGCTCAGAGAATGGCAGAAAAATCTCTTTGAACTTGAATTCCTGCAGCCGGCAAAGTTACTTAAATACATATAGAATAACAATTTCTGCATATACAACAAATGTATCTACATACACACATAACTACATATTAATACACAAGCGTATGGAGAACAAATATAAAAACTATGTTTTTTTTTTTAAGATAGTACACTCTCAAAATGACATTTGCACAATTTGATTAGCACAATGTGCTTTACACTCAACAGATATCGATTATTTCCTGAATTGTTTACAGCCAACAACAAATTCATGCACTCATCATTTCACAACAAGAACTCAACTCACTCTGTGACGTAAAGACAATGTCAAGTCATTACTACAACAACTTTTTAGAAATTTTTCGTTTCTCTTTTGTTTTTTGTAGCTAAAACTTAAGCACTACGGACCCTTGCCGACATTTTTTAGCTTTTCAAGTGCAAGCGAGACTTTTATTTATTCGTGTGTTACAATTTCAAAAAGATAAAATCACATTTTAATACACGTATGTATGTCGAAAGTATATGGCGCGATGAGTTGTAGCCGAAAGTACGTGCGTATATGTGCCCACTTCGTTCTGCCGGCATTACGTATAGCTTATACCGGCAGCGTTGGGTGGCCGTGAGCTACTAGTGCATAGCTTTAGCGCTTCGATGGAGCAAACAGCTGTTGCTGGCAGGGTGGCCAAGACTTGTGTTATTATTAAAAATATTATCAAGTAGATTATAAAGAAAATAAAAAATAACGTGTATCTACTGTATGGTAAATATATTCTCGTGAAAGATTGCTTTAATTACTTAGTATGTAAATTTTTAAATATATCGCTATGCAAACGCTGATGCTTTAAATTGCATTGCGAGATATCCGATTACGACTATAAGCTACTTAAGCTTACAAACGTATGTATGTAATGTATAATTCAAGTTTTAAACCGCGAATTTTTTGCTCGCTTTATTCTTATTACTTTGTTTTATTCTTTGCTTTATTTTAACCGCGTTCATGTCAATTAACAATAAAACTGATTGAGAAACTACAATTACATACGATAAAGATATTTTGCAAGGGCGAACTTAAGCAGAGTTGTTTAAAATGTACATATATTTTATATAAATTTATTAAGTGAGATTTAATCTTATCAGAAAAAAGGGTATGTATATGTGGCCCCGTGCAACCAATTTCGCTGTGTGAATAAATAAATATATAACCCTTAAAGAAGACTTTGTCATAGCAGAGGACAGCTCTTCTTTCTGTTTTCCTTATTTAGATTAAAGTTTCAAAAATTACCCACTTCCGTTGTACAGAACTGGCAACTCTGCCGCCAACCAGTTGTCATGATCGCCAAATTAAATGCTTTTTTCTTTGTTTTCCCCTGCTGTACGTTTTATTTAAAACGTTCGTCTGTGTTTGGCGAATTTTGTTTTTTTTTTTACTATTTCTAATTGTTGGTGTTGATTGATCTTGACAAATCAAAGGGTTTTTTCTACGTTTACGTAGTGTAATTAGGTACAAAGTTTTTTTTCAAGCGTGTTAATTATATTACAATCAGCCGCAAGCGGAACCTAACTAAGCCATTTTTTCACTTCTATTTTAAAAATAGCAAAGAATTGTAATGAGGAAAAAAATGTATGTTTTTCACTGAATTCTGGAAGCAAAATTAAATAAAGTGAATTGGCATGAAGTAAGCAGCAAACCTGCTTGACAATAACAAGCTTACCAAATGCGCAAAAAACAACAGTTTCTTTTATCTTGCGATATATGTATGTATATTTATGTAAAGCATGGAAGTTTTGCAAATGAAGGGGTTCCAATCATAAATCACATAATTTGTTTGGTCTTAAAATATTACCGAAATATTTTAGATTGCCTTCAACCAGCAACCAACAATGGCCTAATTAAACAAAAAGTCTTTCCAATCTACTTACATACATATGTATATACATACATAGCAAATTTTCTTCTCACAGCCCATGCTCTTCAAAATATACATTAATATTCTGGTATCAAACAATTAAGTTGCAGTGTCGAGAATCAGTCAAAATGTAGCTCGTCCTGATGTACCCTGTGCAGCTTTACGCACTGCATTCTCTCATTTATTTCTCGATACACTCATTTCCTTATAATTTGTTATGATGCTTAAAAAGACGCTTACCAATGCCTTTGAATATTTTATTCCTAATTTTCGATTAATACTTTTGCTTTTTGAAGTAACCTACTATATCTCTCTACGCTCCTCAGATGACGTTTTGTGAATGTTGACTGACCATCAATCTTTTTGTTCTTTTTTTCCTTTGTTTCTAAACTCATTTTCACGCAAAGTAAACTTGTATCGACAGTTTTCCCCTCATCTTCGTGGTTAACACGTAGGACTCGATGGTTTCAAAATTGAAGGGTCGCATTTATTATTGAAACGACAGTTATATTTTTGCGAAGAGTTGTTCATTTAATTGATTTTTTTATAATACTTGCGCTGAAGTGCGTACAAATTAGTCGAACCTTGCGACTCATCTCATATTTGATATATTCTCTCTCCTTTTTATTGGGAGGTTTCACTGTTCCAATATATTTTCTCATGTATCTGCCCACTTTGTGACTTGTTTTTGTTGCAAACTAGTAGAAGAACTCTTAAAAGATAATAAGCGATACTTTTTCTTACACAATACATAAAAATATTATATATAAAGAATAGAAAATTTGGCAAACATGTTGTCTAATTTACTTTCGCTCGATAACAAATGCTTGGAGAGAATTTGCAGTTTCCTAAGCACACGAAGTCTAGTGCGATTTGCGAAAGTATGCCCACGTTTATATGATATTGTTCAAGGACACTGCATAAGTCGTTATAAAACATGTGAATTTTTTAATGTAAGCAAGATGACTTTACCCGAAATAGTTAGGTTTTTCCTCCTCGCTGGCGCCGGTATTGAATCCTTGGAACGATATGCAGCAATTAAACATCGTGATATTGTGATTGATTTAATGGCAACGTACTGTCCACAGATGAAGACACTGGTTCTGATTAATTGTGATTTGGATGATAATTCAATGAGTATTCTGAAAAATCTAAAAACCTTACAGACACTAACACTCGCCTCGAGTGCTAGGCTAACAGGTAAGAGAAAACCAAACAACACTTTCAAAGCTTACAATATTTCGTAGTAATCGAAAAAATTTCTCTTCCTTACTCATGCGCAGGTAAACACATAAATAACTTGGTGCACCTTACGCATCTGAATTTATATAACTGCAGCAACATGAGGACATCACATTTGATTCAAATATTCAAAGACGTACCCAATTTAAGGGCACTTGATATGCGTGAATGTAGACAGATGACGCCGGAACTTTTCACCGAAATGGTCAAATACTGCAAGCAGCTTGAAGTGTTGAAGACTTCGTGCCCTGAATTTCCATATTCATGTGTAGCCATATTGCCAAACCTAAAAGAGCTCGTTTTGTCGGAGTACATACCAGGTGCTACGACACAGATAGTTTTGTTACAGGAATTGGTCGCAAACAAGGCTAAGCAATTGGAGGTTTTGGAAATATATTCAGAAAACTCGCTGAACTTTGAACATGTTTCGCTAATCTCAAAACTGAAGCATCTAAAAGTCCTCAATGTCGCCAATAATCAGGTAGTTAATGACGATGCTCTTGTAAAATTTGGCAAGTTGAAACAACTCGAAGTGTTAACAATAAGACGTTGCGTTTCAATAACCAACCAAGGAGTTTTGAAGTTGTTGCAAAGCTGTTCACTACTCTACCGCTTAAATGTGCAATATTGCACAAAAATAACAAATGAGTTTGTTATTAATGTGATTCCAGTTCTAAGTGATAACAGAAGTCACAACCGAAAAAAGCCATTCCTACTACTGGTAGATCCCGAACTTCTAGATGAGAAAACCCTGGCTTTGGTAGGTGGCAAACCTGAAGAAATTTAAAAAGATTCTCGAATTTATACTATCATCATTTCAGTTCAAACAATATACAATCGCTGTGAAAGAGTTTCTCATCAAAATAGATACGGAAATGTCTGAATCCGATTTGGCTTATGGACCCTACTGGAAAAAGAGGCCTCTTTCTGATGGAGAAGATAGTGATGAAACGTCTCGCGATTAAATTTATTTTGCAGCTTTTAGTAACTTTCATAGTAGTAAAGCTAGTGTTACTCTTTACTAAAGATTTTAATGTGGAAAAATAGAAAAAATTCATGCGGCCATGTTAAAAAATACAAAGTAAAGCTTTTATCTAGGTTCCCGAAACATCTCTTGATATTATCGAAGTGAAGCCAATTAATACCATCTTCCTGATATGGGCACATTCAAGCAATTTGAACAAATAGGTCAGGGTATGTGAATATCCAATTATAGAATAGGGAGGAAGGCTTAATAAAAGAGGTCAAAGAAGAGTATAACAGACAGAGACTAACAGCGGTAATAACGAGCATTTCGCATAATAGACGCTGTCGTAGCATCTAGAATGAAATTAAAAATAAACTCCACAGAATTACTATCTATTAGAGCCTGAGATGAACACTATTTGGGCGCACTCCTGCCTAGACTTGAAGCTCACAATTATTACATAATTTTGGAGGCTATTTTACAATAAATCAGCGTCAAATGCATATACCGAAAACCACTATTCGCCACTTGATTTTGGTTCCTAATGAGATTCCAAATAGAAATCGGTATTTATCTTTACACCTCGCAACCGCTTCAGTTAATTTTTCTATTATATTGGGACCATGACTTGCTAAAATATGTTTCCCTGACTGAGGCATTAGAACATGAATTGCATATATTTTAAATTATCCTTGCCCGAGGTTTTTAAAATTGATCAACAATTCTATTACCTACACGTATAATATGTCATATATTATTACTAATTCGTTGTCTCTCGTACATTTTTGCCGTTCTTTCTTGAAAGGCTAAAGCATGAAACCATGATTACCGTTATACAATAGCTCAATTTTCAACGCAGTGCACGTACACACATATCTGGCCTTAGGTCTCTGCCGGCAGATCTTACTGTCCTTGCCAAGAAGCATAAGAACGGAAAACACTGGAGGAAATGTCGTTAAATGACGCGGCGAAAATACTTTCGTTAGATAATGATTGTTTGGAAAAGCTTTGTAGTTTTTTGCCTTTTATCGATCAAGTTCGGTTTGGTCATGTGTGTCAACGTTTTCGGTATGTTATTGAAGGGATTTTCCAACGCAGGTTCAAGGAATGTGTGCTTGACGACTTGATTGATATAATGATTCAAATGAAACTGAAAGAACTACGCAATTTCTTTCGCTTAGCAGGACCACAGCTGGAGAGCTTATCAAGCAGAACACCATTTATTGATCGAAGCCGGTCGCTTGAATTGATTGCACCCTTCTGCACACAGTTAAAGGCACTCAATTTGAGTGGTTGTTTCTTAAACGATGATTCGATTCGATTTCTGCAGTCTCTAAAAAAATTAGAAGTCCTCACAATATCTGCAAATCGGGAGATAACAGGTAACAAGGAATTCTTATTTCTTCGCTAAAATCATTCAAGGAAAAATATTTAATGCGTTCATGAAACATTCCAAAGCTAATTTTTATTATCTTCACACAGGTGCATATATAAATAACTTGTTAACTCTAACTGAATTGGATCTTTATGGTTGCATCAAAGTTGAAACGCCTCATTTGATAGCGGTATTCAAAGCATTACCCAACCTAAGACTGCTTGATATACGCGATTGTATGCGAATGTTACCTGAGCTCTTCAGCGAAATGGCCAACCATTGTCAAAGTCTTGAAGTACTGAAGATGTCGTGTCCGAAATTCTCTTATGCTGCGGTAGCTTCATTGCCGAAACTGAAAGAGCTCGTGTTGCTCGATCGCCATCGATGGGCTACAACGAGGGCGTGTCTGTTTGAAGAATTGTCCGTACGTAAGACCAAGCAATTGGAGTCATTGGAGATTCATACGAGAAATTCTTTATCAGGCGAACATACGTCGCTCATAGCATATTTAAAAGGTTTAAAAACACTTGTGATCGAACAAAATACTGCTGTCAACGATCATGCATTGAGCAAGTTTTGTGAACTGAAGAAACTCGAAATATTAGTAGTGAAAAAGTGCGCTGATATAACCAACAAAGCTGTTTTGAATCTCTTGCGAAACTGTCCCGTACTGCGTCACCTGAATATTCAACTTTGCTATGGAATTACAACTCCATTCGTCATTGAATTGATCTCTATTCTAAAGGCTGAAGAGGGCGTGCGCAAAAAGCCATTGGTAGTGCTAGTATTTGGAACTAAAATAGACAAGGAAAAGTTACTTCAGGTGGGAGACAGAATTATTGCAATATTTAATTAATATTAAACTGAATTTTTCAGAATGCAACATATATCGAGGCTGTGGAACAACTTCTTATCAAAGTGGTATTCGGTATTCCTCACTTTGAATTAGATAATGGCAACTGTTACAATTACAGGAGGGGAAAGGCTCGTCCAGACGAATATGAAGGCGACTAAAACATGTGATTGCGATGGTAATACTATTCGCTTTGTCGAGATGAAAATGCAATTCAAATACAAATTTATTTTTGACTATATGTTTTGTTTCATTGACTTTTGCGACAACGAAATATAGTGTTCAATCCCTTCTCTTCTCTCCAAAAAATTACTCTATAATTATTCCGCGTTTTGTGAAATATTCGTGAGACTACTTTGTTCTCTGAAATCTATTTTAAATTTGAGTTTCCCATTTGCACAATAATAATACAGGATATATCGCGGTCGTCCGATTTGTTCACTTTCACTTCGAATTCTCCGAGCTGGCGAACTTCGTCTCGTCTCAACTATATGCTTTTGGATTTACTCCTGGCTCATAATAAAATATATAGGAAGTCGATTCGCCCCAAGAACAAAGAAAAACGACGGTTTGCCAACACTCGAACAGGCAGCGTGGACTGATCAAGCAAAATTCATGGGTTCATCTCTTTCATTTTCTTAATCGGTGTCGGGTCCACTACTCTCTAAAAAAGAGAATTTCAAGTAAACTGAACTAAAAATAAGATTTAGAAGAATCATTTTCTGAATCATAATCATAATCCGAACGATAGGCAACCAATTCAATTCAATTTCAAGTGAATTGAATCATAAATCAGATTCCTGAGGAGAGGGAATAAATGTTCTTGCTTTTTTGAGCAAATATATACATTTGTACCAAGTATCAAGTAAATCGAACCACAAATATGATTTTTTTCAAATGGTTCCGTCCCTGGTCTATTTCCCGATATGAAAAAGGATGTTGGCAGATTCTGATGACTGTCCGATATGCGTACGAAATTTCATTTAGCGTACAAGCACCATAGCATGGGAATTTTATATACATACATATGTATGTATGTATAAGTTCTGTAGTGTAGTTGTCAGAAAACAAATTCTAGACAACGAACGATATTAGCTTGTTCCACTTATTTTTATTATACAATATTTATTTTATTTCATTTTTAATTTTAATTTATTCTTTTATTAATTTAATTTTTTTCTTTTAATTTATTTTTTTAATTTATTTTTTTATAACATTTGAATTTTATTTTATTTTTGTATTTTATTTTATTTTAGTTTACTTAATTTTTTTTACTCAATTTTATTTTATTTCATTTAATTTTATAACGGTTAAGACAGACTTAAAAGAATTTTTTCCAGCCATTAGAATTGTGAAAACTGGTTTGTGCGAGAGAACTTTTTAGAAAAGTGTTGAACTTTGACATCTTTGGATTTATGGTTAATATGTCTTAATTGAACCAAACTATCCCTTGCATTCATAAATAAGCAGGGCTTGCTAAGAGTCGGTATCTGACAAAGATATATTCATACACCTCGCAGATACCATATTTGTATTCGCCTTCAAGACATACAAAGGTAACAGAACAATTTAGTAATATTACATTATGTATGTAATAAAATATTTGTTTTCTGTTTGTTGTTTTAATTATTTACCTTTTCTCCGTAGATATGGAAAGGGGAATGAGGGATAACCGTTACAATCATAGAAGCACTGCTGGTGCGCATTACGCATATAATTAATTTTCACTTGTGCTTGTCAAATGTGTGAACTTTTTTCTGTGCAGACACAAAACGATTGTTTAAATTCGTTCGTTCGTAAATTTTGTACAATTATTAGTGTCGAAGTGTATTTAAAACATGTTGCCCGAAGATGCTTCCAATAGTGCCAACGCGTCAACGAGTACTTCAAATATATTGTCGCTGAATAACGATTGCTTGGCAAAGATTTGTACTTACTTAAATTTAAGGGAGCACCTCAGCTTTGCCAATGTCTGTGCTCGTTTTCGTTATGTTGTTCAATGGATAAGCAGAAGATTGTATAAAGAATGCGACTTTTATAAAATATCGTATTTGACGCCGTTCGAAATGTTGGAATTCTTTCACTGGGCTGGCGAAAGTTTTGAGCAGATAACGTCTGAGGAACCATTTCGAGATCGCGATTTCATGGTCACAGTAATCGGGCGCAACTGTCCCAACTTGAAGAAAGTCACCTTGTGCAATTGTTTCCTGAATGATGAGTGTGTTGAAGTTCTGCAGGCGTTTTTAAAGAAAATTGAGTCATTGACACTTTGCGATAGTCGAAATATAACGGGTAAAAGTATTCAGTAGAGAGTCGATTCTTCGATTCTTGCACTTAATGAAACTCGGCTTCGCCGCAAGTATGATATTAAGATTGTCCGTGGTACGGAGAATTTTTTCGCAATTTCCTTTTGCAGCATGCACTTCTTCTACACCACCGCAGCGTCATAATATCGCCAAGACCAAGAAATCATTAACACGAATTTTTAGATCAAGATATTAGCTTCTTCTTTAATGATAATTGGCGTAAGCTCATTCTGTGCTTTTATAGGGCCTAATCACTCTAACAAAATGTACGACATACTAAGGCAAACAGATTTCGCAAGTGTTAAGATTAAAATTCTCAAATGTCGCAAATACTGAGCAACCGAGTTTCTACTGCATTGAAAAATTGTTATGAATATTCATTATTTTCATTTCGAAATTTCTTGTTATTCTTAATGTGCAGGTAAATACATGAGTGGTATGATTCATCTAAGAGAGCTAAACTTATCTGGTTGCATTCGAGTGAGAGCATCGCATTTAATGGCGATTTTCGCCGCTGCTCCTAACTTAAGGCTACTTGATATCCGTGGATGTAGACGAAGCAGGCCCGAAATGTACGAAGCTTTGCTCAAATATTGTCAACAGATTGAAGTGCTGAAACTGTCTTGCCCTAAGTTCTCGTATGCCTGTTTGGCATCTTTGCCGCGACTAAGAGAACTGTTTCTCGTAGATGGCGCCCCAAAGGGTGCAACCAAGTTGTGCCTATATCAGCAATTGGCACACAGACCTAGACAGTTTGAAGTTTTGAATATTCGTTCAAATAGCAGTCTAACAGCCGAACATTTAACTTTGATATCACAACTGCAGTCCTTGAGAGAACTTACGCTATCTCATAATCTCGTAGTCAACAATGATGGGCTAGCAAAATTATGTAAATTGCAAAATCTCGAAGTATTAGGAATTAAGGGCTGTATGTGTATTAGTGCGAAAGGGCTTTTAAAGCTATTGCAACATTGCACCAAACTTCATCAGCTAAATATAATATTTATCCGAAATATCACGTGCAAATTCGTCCTCGATTCAATTCCTATCCTCTGGAGGACATATAATGAACGGAAAAGGAAATTTGTACTTTTAGCCTTTAACACAAACATACAGGAAAAATCTCTGCGGGACGTGAGTAATAATATAATAACTGAAGGCAATTGACAATTTAATAAAATTTTACTATCACCATTTTAGGAAGTCCAATATTTGGAGGCTGTGGAAAAATCACTCATCGAAGTAAGAGATGTCCTTAACCCTGCAGATTTATATGGCGGCCCCTATTACAATTACTCGCGAATAGGTCCTTGCATAAACAACTACGAAGACGACCTATACAGCACAGATGAGGAAGAAAATGTTGCTTTTCTCTTGGCAAACATGTCTGGCAAATCGTTTATTTAATTTTAAGTTGACAGGCGTTTTAGGAAAGTGTTTTGAGACTGCTTTCTATACTGTTTAATCCTTGTGGAAATACCTAAAATATTACATTTTTAGTTAAAGACAAGTGATGTGTAGTAACTTTGAATACTCAATTTAGCCAGAGCCGAAAAAACACAGAAAATTCAAATTGAATGAGGAATGTTTATTTTCATTTGAAAGAACCTTATTTGGCATTTATTTATTTCAAATGTTGGCCGTGGCTACTTCTCAGATGGTCCAACCATCCACCCGTTGAGTCAAACTTCCAATGAGTCGTCTGAGCATTTCGACTACTCGACACTACCCATGATTCCATGAGAATGTGGTCCCTAACTATATTAACTTCTGATTTTCAATTGAAGCTTTAGGAACTGCGTGCAAAACATATAATCTCATTCTTAAAAGTAACGGACTTTTGAAAAGCTTCTAATACTCTATATGAGTAGTTGCTGTTAGCCTCAATGGAGAGCTGTTGTGTGTTGCAGAAGAAAGCTATTTGTTTATCAGTTCGCCAGAAACCACCAGATCACTGATATACAACTGTATAACACCCTGTATTTTTATTTCCAATATGCTCTGTTGAAGAGCAGGTCAGCAACTAAAAACAACTCGCAAATATATGTATAGTGTTTATATTGATTAATGTTATTTAACTTTTTGTTCAAATTCGATTAAATGTGAAGAATCAGTTCAATGGGGCCAATGTAAACAGTCATCTGATCTTATAGGTTCTTACAAATAATTAATATTATACGAAAATGCACCTCCTTACCGCAAAAGCTAAAAACATTCCAGCGGGCAGGCGGATATGATTAGACCAAATTACAATCTGGATTAAGATTCCTAAAAGGTCTAACAATGAAGAACGATTCGATTTTTTGCTAATTCTTGGACGATGTGTTTGGCCAAGTCTAGAGGCTGTCCGGTCTGAAAATGAAGTCTTCGTTTTCCGAGTATACGACTTCAATACATATGTATATTGCTCTGTCTGGTATGAGTATATAAAACTGTTAGATCGTGTTTTCGGAATTCTTTTAATAAAATATCATAAACTTATTTTTTTAATAATTCATGCCTTGCATATTACTAAAATGGGTTTCCGTCAAGTTAATAAATACCGGAACTAAGTAAATACATTTATGATGCACATAAAAAATTTATGTAGACTAGTGATTCTTAATATTGTTTAAATTTATAAAAAATATTACAACTAAATTAACATCGTCAATAACAAAGCTCTGCTCCATGCATTTAATCACGCGTGTGATCTCGAATCCAATCCAAATATTGTGAAACTCTCGTGTAAACACCGGGATAGCCAGGCTCACCACATTTGTTCCCGAACGAGACTACACCGAGTTGAACCCAGCGTGAGTCGAACCGCATCATCAGCGGACCACCAGAGTCGCCCTACAAATTTAAATTGATTTAGAAATAAACAACCTTCTATTACGGCAGTGAAAATGTATTACCTGACACGCATCCACGCCACCGTCCGAGTAGCCGGCGCATACAAAGTTCTCATTGATCGGTTGAAAGTATGAACGATCGCAGTCCTCATTTCGCCAGATCGGTAATTCGGCTTGACGTTGTGTCGTCGATTCTTTGCCGCCGTAGTAGGTGGTGCCCCAGCCAACTACTGTGGCACGTCGACCAGGCAAACGCTCTTTGGGTGGCGCACGCCCCGCCCGTGGCAAGCAAACTGGTATGACATATTTGGATTTCCGCACAGGCTTGTCAAGCACCAATATCGCTATATCATTATAGAAGCCAATGCGAGAGAAGCTATAAACAAATTTATTTACAAAAGTAAGAATTTTTACTTATGAACAGCAGAGATAAAATTATTTAAGATTACAAAGACGTACAGTAAATTGAACCCAATATATCCTAAAAGTGAGTACAAGTGAATAATAACGAAGTAGTCTAGAGAGTCTACCTCCCTTTCTCTGCTCAATGCAGAATGAAGATGTATTGATTCTTATAACATAGTTTACGATACAGGACTAACGGAAATACGGCTCGATTTCAGGCCGGTCGAGCGCATGTGAAGTGTTTTTTGATTAGAGAGTTTGTTCGGATGCTGGTCTTGGAAAGCCCCTGGAGGATTTTAAGAATAACGCCAACTTTAACGTCACTTTAATATAAGCGTATGCTATATGTACGAGCTTAAATCAGCTCTGAAGATTTTGTACAACAGTGGACATAGGTAGAAAGGCTTTCCTTTACATGGGACGTAATTGGGGATCTGGCCATTTAGCACCCCTCTCTCGAATATATCCAAATCCGAGCTCTTGCAGAGAGTTTCTCCTCCTCTTTTAAGTAAAATAATTCTTAGACATTTTGATTGTTGGGATTTTGTCGCGAATTTGCTTAACGTTGGACGTTTTAACCTTTCTTTAAGGAAGGGAGACAATCAAAAACCATCTTTTGCTTCCTCAAAGCCCGGATATAAAAAAATGTATTAAGATAAAAAGTATAAATTCCTTATCTGAATATTGAATACACACAGCGAAGCTTCACTACTGTTACGCAGTCTCTCTTCAACAACATTCCTACTTACCGTTCATGTGCACGCACTTCCTTCACAGCGAATGTAACTGGCGCCGAGGGCTCAGCGTCGGTGGACAAATCAATGTCTCCTAAACGTACAGTAAATTGTCGCGCTGCAAAACTGCATGAAAGGGAAGAAGTTACTGAAACATATGTACAGATTTATATAATTTCAACAGTTCTTACGGTTTCTGCCGTGAGTCCCTCGTACAATGCGCCGCGGTCAGAATGTATTTCGTGCCGATAAGCGAGCCACCGCACCAGAACTCGGTACGTTTGGGGCCATGCAAGAATATAGCCGCCATCCACGGCCATTGCCCATTCGGCGCTTCCACACCCCCCACTATGCGGCCAGAAGAATATTCCTGTTGGCCACACTCTTCTGGGTCAACAATGTTATTATTACCTATAAGTTCCAATTCATTGCCCAAAGGACTCTGGGTTGTTGTCGTTGTTGTAGTTGAAGGCTTTAGCTGTGGCAATAAGACTAAACTTGGTGAAGAAGGTGGCCGCTGTGTTGTTGGTCGTTTGGTTGTCAATGCCGTTGTGGTCGCTTTGGTTGTCAGTTTTAGTGGTCGTGGTGTTGAAGGCACAGCTGAAGACTCAGGTAATGGACAGCATACGCCAGGTACGAATAAGCTCTTAAAACAAAGCGACTCACGTAAACTACTCAAGTTTAGTAATAACGCTGGACAGCTACTTAAATCCTCGCAACGCCCTGGACGTCCATTAGGAGTTTTACAAAAGTTTTCGGCATCTTTTGCAGAAACATCCTCTGTGGTTGCGGGCAACTGGTCAGCACGATCAATTGAGCTGGTAGTTGTGGGCATTGCGGTAGAGGGAGGTCTCAATGTCGTTGACAGTCTGTTTGATTGTTGTAGTTGTCCTGTTGTGCCAGCGAACGTTGCATCCGCTGCTGCTGCTACTGCGGGTTTCTTGACTTTATTCTTATTCTTCTTCTTCTTTTTCTTCTTTTTGGTTTCCTTGGTTTCGACAAACATTGGCTTCACAGGCGTGCCTGTCTCTCCACCGCGCTCCGTCACCTTCTGTTCCGTTATCAAGTTACCTTGTGGTGGAAGCGGTGCAAGAATTTTCGCAGTCGGCGTAATATCATTGAATTTTCTGGACGGCGTTGCCGTTGTTGAAATACTGATTATAGGTTTTGTCTCATTACTAGAGCCAACGGTAGCAATACCATCAGCACTGAGGCTTCCTTCATTCACAGCTTGCCCTTCAAGAACTTCCGGCTTTGGTTCATGTCCCCCGCGGGTAATATCCACCAACAAGTGACCCATGGTGTTCAATGCACCCAAAGTCTCGGAAATGCGATTAAAAGCCGATTGTGATAGCAGACGTGGTATCGATTCACTGCTTCCACTACTGTCTGTGCTGCTCTCCTCATCGCTTTCATCATAATACTCATCATCATCATCGTCATTATCATCATACCCAGAGCCGGCATCTCGACTTTCTGATTCTGAGTTAGACGAATCGGCGTCGGAATCGGAATCAGAATAGGCTGGTTCGTTGGTGTTGATCTGCAAACGATTTGTTTGTTTCACTCTGTTGGTCTCCACACGACCGACTCGTCTGATACTCTGACCCTTGGCGAAGTCATGCGAGAATGGTGAGTCCGATTGTGACTGAAAAAAAGACGCTGCCTTAAAAGTAGATATGAATCCAAACTTTATGCCTAACTAAATCAAGCAACATTCATTCGAAATTTGACAATAACTTACATTGGTCGTTGGTCAAGTGTCGTGGCTCGTAGTCATCGCCGGGGTCCACGGTAGCAGCGTGCCCAAATATTTCTGATAAGAAAGTAGCAGAAAGCGCTGCAAGCGAAAATATAAGAAAACAAAAAACAATTATAACTTGAAAAATATTTTAAATATATAGAACGAAATCTACTTGCACCCTCAATCCACAAACTAAAATATGACTAACTTCCCGTATAAACGGTATCGAAAGTATTAAACGAGATTTCAGAGTAGTTCATAACCGGTAAGTGAGTATGTGTATGTGTTCGTTCTTCTCGTTTGTAGAGAGTCTTTATTTCATGTCTGAAATACACTCGGAGGGGTTGGCATTCCCTGCCGAGTGGCGACCGCAATTAAAAAATTTAAATTAATTTTCTATAACTTTTGGATGTTGGACGCACGAGGATTTGAACCCTGGACTTCCGAATGGCAGTACGCAATGCCAATCACTCGGCCACCGCGGCCGCACAAAAATTTACTACTATAAAAACAAATGCTCTGTGCAATATCATAATAAAAAAGGGTGTTTGGGAACAATTCAAAGGAAAAAAGCAAGTGCGGCGGCCAAGTATTTCCATCTCTTTGTTTACGAGTACATGAGTTTTTTAGTTGTTGTTTTCCTTTTCCAAATTTTTTGTGCTTATGTTTTTAAAAACGCTTATTAAATGTTACACAATCATTTTTTACTTTTCACAATTGATTACTCACAGTGTCGCAGAAGACCGCTGGATGCAGTGTTATTTTTGGGTGCCTCCATGCAATCAACGGTCTCTTAAAAAGTTCGTGTTTACTTTTAGTCTTAAGTGAAAGTGGGATATAGAAATGCTTATTAACAAAGATGCCATTAAATTTTTAATCAGTTTTATATGAAGTACAAAAGGAGCGATAAAGTATTGAAAAAAAAATCTGAACAAAAACATTTAAGTTTTATAAAGTGCAAAAAAAAAAAGTACTAAATGAAAAAATAATAACTGAAGAAATTGAACGAAAATTTTCAAAATTTCATATCCTGCTAAACGTGAATGCCCATCTCCCGGCTACCAGTTAAGCAAAACAAATCGGTCTTTGTAATCGGTCATATGTAAAGAAATAATAAAAAGAAAATTCTTCAAGTTTTGTTTTAACAAAAAGCTGTTCGCCAGCGACTGTTACATCATTCGAGCACATACAGGCACTTAACCTCATCTGATAAGTCATTACATATAAACCAAAAACTCTACGTAAAATGATTGCTCACAAAGTAAGCAGCCGGAGATGACCTAGTCAACAGAAAGCCGTTAGGCATAGCGCAAAAGCGCAAGTAAATGCCCAGTATGAAAATATAGAGAAGCAAATACCTTAAACAAATGTACACATACATTTTTTCTCTAGCAAATATATTCACAATATATTCATTTGGAGGTCCGAAGAATTAAAAAATTGGCTAAATATTAAAACACTGTGATCCTCATGGTCATTTTAGGCTTTTGGGTTGAAATCGATAAATATTTATTCTTCATTTTAAACTGAGAATTTAAAATGGAGTACTTTTGTTCGAGTATTTGCTAGATCGATTCTGGGCAATTCCATCACTTTGTCATATACTTGCTACTTTAGTCTATTTTGGACATTTTAAATATGCTTGGTTTCGAAGAATGTAATATTCGCCTTGAGTATTTGCTTTTTAGCCCTTTGCAATTTTTAATCTTCTTCTTCTTTATTGGCGTTGGCACCGCTTGCGTTGGCACCGATCACAGCCGAATCAATTATAGCGCTGTTTGGCGGCAATTGGAAAACCCCAGTGAGGCCAGTTCACTCTCCACTTCCAGCAGAGTGGAGGTCTTTCTCTTCCTCTGCTTAAACCAGCGGGTACTGCATCGAATACTTTTAAAGCTGAAATGCTGACTGTCATCAGTGACGTTGCAGCCGAGTCGCGAATGCGATGACTGTTTGTTTGATAACTGTTTTAATTTGCAAACAACTACCTTAACCTTTATCTTCCTAATAGTGTCCACAATGGGAGAATTGAAAATGAAAATGTTTCGAAAAGGCTTAGAGCTAGCTTTAGGTCATCTGCCGCTTGCGTTTCCTTGTTTCTTTCTAATTTACTATTAATATTAAACCAAATATAGTAACAGTAAATCAAAACAAATTTAGCCTGCCAATTTTACTTCAGTTTTTTTTCGAGTTTTCAAGTTTTGAAACTTTTAACAGCTTTCTATACTTTTAATCAATTTAAACTGCTGAATAGTTGTTATTTAATACCTCGGATATTTTTTATATCAGCGAACGAACGAAGCCTGAAGAGAAAAACTAACAATCACAGCTGACTTCACGGCGACATGTAATATTTCCTACCGGGTATCTTTGAACGTAAACACATAATATAATAATTGTACACGCATCTCTTTAGAGGGTTTGGTGTACACTTGGGCGATACGAGTCGCGCTAGCCAAAGCAGGTAAGCGGTTGTGTTACGGCATACTTTTCCGAAAAAGGCGTAAACAGCGAGAAAAGCAAAATTGAAAGAAAAATCAAATGAGACGAATACTACAAAATACTAACCATAATATTAATATTATGTGATCTGTAAGAGATTACTTCACAACAGAAATGCGTCAGTCATACAGTGATTTATGTATTGGCGTAAATGGGAAAATAAGCAGACACAAAATTTAGGTCGAAAATATTAGATAAGAAAATCTGTAATTATGAAATAAGGAAAAATCATTATATCATTATTATTATTATTATTATTTTTATTATTATTATTCATACAGCGCGAGCAGGTGATGATGTAAGTAGTGTTCACTTTGACCTTAACCCTCCGTCAAATGGATAGAGTATTGAGAACACCGCTATTCAAAAAGTTTTCATTAGTCAATATTTTATATTCATCTTTTTATAAACGCTTTTTATAAGTGTGTGAATTTTAAAAGGAAAATTCTACGCGTCTACAAATTTGGAATTAAATTGTTTGCGACTTATGGACACAAGTACCGGGGCATTGTATTGGAAAAATAGGAAGTAGTCGTGGAGACAAGTCAAGAAAACATCAATAAAGTTGATTATGTAAATGTAAAACGATGTTGGTCTTCTTTAATATGATGGAAGTCTTTGGGCGAGCAATATATCTAGATAGGCATAGTAGTATAACGTTGCCCCAAAGTGTACGAATAAACTACATACTCGTAAACCCGCGTCTGACTTTCGGGAGGCTGTTGTCACCTACAGTATAAGCGAAATGCGGCTTAGTATAAAGTGTAGATCTCTGCATTTTGTTGGAAAAAACATCAAGACGCAAAACCACAAATTGAAAGAGGAGCTCGGCGGAAAATCACTTCAGCGGTTACAAAGAGCCAATTGTATGTATATATAAATACCGGCATGGTACTGGCTTCCAAAGGAAAGGAATACATATCTAAAGAGGCGATAAAAACACATCTGGATGACAGGTCATAGAGGCATTGAAGGCAATGAGATAGCTGAACTAAGGAGGATGTCCTCTTATAACGGGCCGTTATAGTAAACCTACCAGTTCTTTTTAGGTCGACTATTGCTATTGCATTGTAAAAAAAATTTGAAACCTTTTATATGCGGCACATTTACATAAATATCTTTATGCTTTTCGCTTTAAGAACTAAAAAAGGCATATTAAAATTATAATCGCAATGAAAAGTGAGAATCTTTTTTCAAATATGCTATGTTCTTTTAAATAAATAATATTTCTCTAACTAAATGGACCATATTTCCTTATAATATAAAACTTGAGTTTTTTCTCTAAGGTATAAATTGAAGAAAATGCCTATTTTCTCGTTGAAAGAAGAAAATTTATTCACTAAAGATGGCAACACCGGTTGATTGGTTTCTACAAGTGCTTTTAAGAGCGGTCGCCAACCATTTAAGCGCCTCTTTTGATGCAAAAGCCTGCAACCTAACCTCATTCTGCTACCACGATTTATCGCACGATTTAACCCAGTAATCCACAGAAAATATGATGATCCTCCTCCAAAATTGTATAGACAAATTTAATGTATATAACACCAGGTGACCAGACTGACTATAAATGTCAAAGCACCGTTGGAATATACGTGTAATACCAAATCCGTTATTTGCTTTTCTAAACAGTTCCACACTTCCGTGGCTGCGGTTTCAGCGCACTTCATATAAAATAATTTCTACTTTTCTTCTGTGTTCGTCGACCGTGTAATTTGTTGTCTGTTTTTGTTTTTAAAGTAAAAATTAATTTAAAGAAAACCATTTTCATCTGAACAATTACGAGATTTTGTGTTATTTGTATAGAAAATTTAAGGACTTTTTAAAGCATGGCTCGTACTTTAGGTACTATTAACGCAACTGAGGATAAACTTAGGCTACTTTCTATAAGTAGAAAATACTTTGATAAGTTTTCTATATTACTACGCACGCCCGAGCATATTCGTGTGGCCAAAGTTTCTACACGTTTCCGTGACGTTTTTGAAGTGTCTGCCCATCGGGAAGGCACAACATTACAACTTCACCATATGCCTGACATGACATCCTGGGAGCTGCGCGAATTCTTTCGCTTAGCCGGTAAACATATTGAGCATTTAACATGCGAGATTGCCTTGGTGGATCGAGATTTTTTAATTCCACTGATTATATCATTCTGTCCACAATTGAAAGCCTTAATTTTCTATAATTCTTTGAATGATGATTCGATCAAAAAGTTGCAACACTTAAAGTGCCTGAGGTCGCTGGCACTTAGCGATAATCAAATGTTGACAGGTAAAATCAAAAGCAAGTTTATTTGGATATACGTGTGTACATACTAATCATCAGGCGTTTCTCTTCTCCTTCACGCAGGTGAAAATATAAATCAATTTTCATACATAACGGAACTCAATTTATGTGGTTGCAATAAACTGACATCCCATAACTTGGTGGGGATTCTCCAATATTTAGAACACCTAAGTAGACTTGATATACGCGAAAGTGTACGCCCTACTCCAGACATTTACACCGCCTTGGCTATACATTGCCAAAAGATCGAGGTATTGAAGATGTCCTGTCCTAACGTCCCGTTTAAAATAATATCGCACTTGCCACGGCTATCTGAACTGACGTTGGTGGATCGGGTTTCGAGTTGTTTCAAAAAGAAATCAATGCTTTTGGAGCTGGCAGCATATAGAGCTAATCAGATGCAGCTTTTGGAAATCATTTCGAGAGATACTTTGCGGTTCCAACATATGGTGCTAATATCACACCTAGAAAACTTAAGAGTCCTCTCCATCACAAGCAATCTGGCAGTCGATGACGAGGCTCTAAATCTATTTTGTAATTTGATAAAACTCGAAAAGCTAACATTAAAAGAATGCAAGGCCGTAAGCGATGAAGGACTCTCGAGATTATTATCACATTGTAAGCAACTACATTACATAAATGTACAATTTTGCTTAAAAATAACAAACCAATTTGCCATTGGCGCCATTCATACATTAACCACCGAAAATACTGAAAGAAAGAAGCCATTAGAACTATATGTACACAGAACGAAAGTCGATATGAGTGTACTTTCCAAGGTAAGAAATACAAGTGATGATAAATGAAATGAACTTGGCTAAATTGAATTATTATTAAATTAGAATGCTACATACAAGGAGGCCGTGGCGAATTCACTTATCAAAGTCGTGCCGAATGTGACTCAGCTAGATTTAATTTATCAAGTCTTTTTCAATTACCCCTTACACGAAGCCAAGAGCGGTGACGAAGATGAAGGTATTGATCTTACCGAGCCAAAACTATTTGGCTTTTAATATTTTTTTATATTTTTATTTTATGTACTTTACTTTGGTTTACGTTTTGCGTAACTGTATTATTTGTTCGTGTTGTTTTAACTCAAAATTGTATTGAGCATAAATAAAGAACTAAAATCTTTGCAAACTGCAAAGTTGACTTTGAAGACAACAATTGTAATGCGTTTAGAATTGCTCCTGAGCAGCAACAGTATCTGAGGACGTTCCGTGCTTTCATCCGCTTTCGAACATTCTTTTGTCATCATGAGAATACCCAATGGTTTGTTCCTAACTAGGTTGTTCGAAAAGAAGCCTGATGAGAAGACATTCGGATTTCTGAAATAGTCATATATTTTTTTGCAATAAGTGCAACAATTAAACAAACTAAGTAATGGCACAAGTTTGCTTTTTAAAACTAATTAGCTATTTTCCAACTGTTCCGGTTCAACGAAATGTCAATTATCCAACAATATATCTGCTACTTACCAGTAATATACTAGTTCGTTTATGCATATTTTATTTCAACCTCTCAGAAATAAAAATAATTCATTGATTCAAATATCGGTACCCTAAGTGAAAGTGTGCCCGAGGACCAGATTGTATCTATTTCTTGATGATCTCAAGAGCTGGAACTTTCTTACGGCACCCATTAAGTCCAGCTCACACAACAACTGAAGCCAGAATACCATTTACTACGCCGTATATACGCCGATTGGCTGCTTTAACAACAAGTAGTGGACGGCGATTCTTCAAACCAAATTTGATTCATCGAGGTGGAACATTTCTCACACGAGGTATACGTAAATAGGCAAATTGCCGCATTTGTGATTCCGAGAATATTTAAATAATTGAAGACAGAATATTATACCCGAAGGTGTCGTTGGTCCTTACTTCTTACTTACTGCTGTCGATTCGTAGCGTTATGGCGGTATGGTAACCGAGTTTATTTGGCCTGCAATTGAAGATCACGACTTGGACAATATGTGGTTTTAACAAGCCGCATGCCACACCCTACTCAGCAAGAGAAAATATGGCTTTATTACATGAGAACTTTCCCAACCGCGTAAACTCTCGTCTTGACGATGTCGATTGGCCTCCGAGATCGTACGATTTCACATCATTGCACTTCTTTGTCGGGCTAAGCGAAGTACCTTTGTTTATGGGGATAAACGTTTAACTTTTTAGTACTTTGAAACCAACTTTCGTTAAATTACGGCTGAGATAGTGTCCAGTATATACCAAAAACTGGTCGAAAATCACATCAAACGGATCGGAACCTGAAGTTTCAATTAATTGTAAATAGTTCCAGGTGTGTAAACCGAGCGCCACGTCTTTAGTAGAAAAAACCATGGCCATAGCCATATCACAAATCGGCGGAAAACACCGACCTTGGGCCCCAGCCATTTCACCGTAAACCTTATTAATGCCATGTGAGATAACTGCCACAGTAAATCAGTAAGTGCATTTTGCCTATAAACGGCCAAGATTACATTGAATTCGAGCTTTAGACTTCCCACGAAAATTGTGCGTAAGCTAAATCATATTTTTGTGGATTTCTACTACTTTTACGTCTCTGATATACGAAAGCTTTAAGTTATTCCTGAGCACCAAAAGCATTTCTGAGCAATGTTAACAAAAGCAAACTTTGTATTCTTTTACATGCCGTTCATCAAGTATGTATTCTCTCCGTTTTTTGCTTTTCCAAATATTTTCTCATTACCGTTTTAAACAAACCAGTCAGCAATTCTTCTTTGCAGTTCACACCGTTTTTTTTTTTTTTCATTTTGTGCCCGCCCAACTGTTGTTTTGCACAGGCGAGGATTTTCAATAACTTCTGAAATATTCCAAAGTGATAATTAAAATATAAATTTGGTAGGAGAGCGCTTCCAGCATGTCTTCAGACACCGACTCAGAACTTGCACGCGCAGCTGCTGCTATGCTCTCGCTAAACAATGATTGTTTGGAAAGAATTTTTAGTTATTTGGATCTACCTGAGCAGATTCGCTTTGCGAGAATTAATCAACGATTCCGTGAGGGCTTTAAAGAATATGCCAAACGTGCACATAAAGTATGTGACCTCTACAAAATATCACTTATGTCTATATACGACATACGCGAGTTCTTTCAATTGGCTGGAGAAAATATTCAAAAAATAACGCGCGAAACCGAATTTCGAACACAAAATTCTATGTTTCCATGGTTGGGAGAATTCTGCACGCAATTGAGAGAACTAAATTTGAGTAACTGTTCTTTGAATGACGAATCGATTATATGGTTGCAAAATTTAAATAATTTGGAGATATTAGCAATTGCCAATAATAGAGAGATATCAGGTGATTTATATTGTATATACCGTTATGATTAGTAAAATATTCGCGAATTATTTTACGAAATTTTCATATCTCCTTTATTGTAATTCTAACCTCATACAGGAACATATTTAAGCGGATTAGTGCATTTAACCGAACTGAACCTATGTGGATGCATTCATGTCCAGCAAGAGGCTTTGATTGAGATGTTCAAGGCGTTGACTAAATTAAAGAGACTAGATATAAGAGGATGTTTGGCGATAACGTCAGAGTTTCTCCCCGCTTTGACCACCTTTTGCAGAGAGCTTGAAGTGTTGAAGATGTCGTGTTCCAGATTCAGTTATGAATTTTTGGCATTATTGCCTCGACTAAAAGAACTCATGCTCTTGGATCGCATTTTCAGTCCCACGCGAAAGACACGTTTGCTTGATGCATTGGTCGCAATAAAGTCGAATCAACTGGAATCACTGGAAATGTATCAAACAGACTCCTTGCATGACATACATTTCACCTTTATATCTCAGATAAGAAGCTTGAAAAAACTTGCAATTGACTTCAATGCAGGACTCATCGACTCTGTGCTAAACAAATTTGGTAATCTAAAGCAACTCGAAACTTTGTCAATAACAGGCTGTAAAAATATGAGCGCTCAGGGTCTTTTGAATCTACTAAGGAATTGTCCGCGACTCCACAGTTTAAATATTCAACATTGTGACAACATAGAAACCAAATTCGTGCTCGATGTAATTCCGATTCTACACGATGAAAGTGCTGAACGGGAGAAACCATTCAAACTTTTCGTATTTGAAACCAGAATAGCGCAGGCACAGTTGGCTGAGGTAGATAGTAAAACTGCTGAACTTTTACAATTTATTTATTAATTTTTTTTTTTTACTTTTTCCTATTGTTGTAGAAAGCGCAATATTTGGAGGCTGTGGAAAAATCACTTATCAAAATAGAGTTCAATATGGTTAACTTTCTCGTAGGTGATGGAATCTATTTAAATCAATTTAGAGCGCAGGTTCTCTCAGCCAACGTCGGCGAAGACAGACCAGGTGCTCAGATGGCACGAGAGAAAGTCTGCGTAATAATGTCAATAGAGAATTAAGCCTTTTTCTATAAATATTTAAATTGTTGAAATAGTTCACGAATTGTAAGGCTGATTCCAAAACTTTTTTCGTAGCTTAAAAAATATTAGTTTTTTCAATGATGTATGCTGCCATTTTGTCATTATATATGTATGTATTTTAATTGAAATTGTATGATTTTAAAACTCCATGCATGGGGAAAAGCATATTCATCAAGTAAATGTGAGTTCAACTAAGGGGTGCGGAATAAAAACATCTTAATAATGGTAATACGAGTATAATACTTAGGCAGAGCCAGAGTAGAGTTTTCAATTTTTTTTTTCTAAAAGTAATAAATCGAAGGTGCAGATCCTCACACATTGATTGTGGCTCGCCAGAAGCGCTGAGAGCAGGGCTGGCAGGTTCTGAGTCCAGTTCGAATTTGGTGACAATAGGAAGAGGGGCTTCTATGAGAGAGGCATAATGGCATTACCTTCAAAATGGCAAAAAGTTATTGAGCTTGCTGGTGCATATTTGACATAAATCTGAAAATGTCTTTAATGGTTAAAAACAATTGAATTCGATGAAAACGACGCTTATTCCGTCGCTGAAGCATCATATTAATGAGACGGCACAGCTAAAGGAAACAAAAACACCCAAATAACTCTCTCTCTCTATAGAGTGACCTCAATTTGTGATGTTTATTTTAATTTCATCTTTACCATTTAACAATACATCGTAAAACTTAAACAACCTTAATTTAATTTAATTTAACTTTTTTAATTTCATTTGCATTTCGCCGAACATTTCGTAAAGTTTTCCATAAACGAAAGTGGAAATGTATACCGCCGTAAACAACAACTCAACAATCAGATGGGCTCGCATATTCCAACATACGTGTATACGAGTATGTCACGTTGCTTTTATTACCGATGCTGCATTAAAACCGCTGTTGCCAAATTGTTGTTGCTGCTTTAGTCACTGTACCACACTTGCCACTTGCACTCACAGCTGCTGTTAGTCGTTATGCTTGGAAAAGCTCGTTTATCTCAAAGTTGATGGCGAATACTTTTTCGATCTTTTACGATCTTTTACGATCTCCACAAGAGTATCGGCGCTTGAGACCCGACTGCCAGCGAATATGCAGTTTATGGTTGTAATTACTTAAGTGATGTGTTGTATTTTCCATTTTTGTTATTATTATTGTAGTGTTGCATAACTTGAGGATTAACCAGACATTACAGCAATAATCCAGGCAATTAAATCTACTCTGGTAGCAACAAGAAGTGGAAAAGATGCAAGCGACCGTTGATATTGAGTAATCAGTACGGCACATTACAAAAACTACATACTTTCAAATATATATAAATAATTGGTGCTTTGTGACGGCTAAAGCGACTTTCGGCCGAGCTCCTCCTCTGATATGAGGTTTTACATTTTTCCAGGAGGAACCTAGAGTATATACTAAGCCGCCTCCGAACGGCTGATGGTTTTTTTATACAGAGCCTTTATTTCATGTCTGAAATACACTCGGAGGCGTTGACAGTCCCTACCGAGTACTGACCACAATTAGAAAGTTTAACTTAATTTTTTATTTAAATTAATTCTTTGTTGGTTGCACCAGGATTCGAACCCAGGCTTTCCGAATGGCAGTGCGCAATGCTAACCACTCGGCCACAGCTGCCGCCACATACTTACATATATACAGATATTACACGGGTAGTAGTAGACATGGCTTCAAATCGAAATTTTCAAAGAAAACAAATCACAGCCGTCAAGTGGCTCCGGCACCGACTGAAGCACCAAGATAAATGTGCAAGATAAAAAGTTGCTCATGCGTTTCGACTGTGTATGCCACAAGTATGTGGAGCTCAAGAGACGCATAGTCACGTAATTGCACATCATGGTAAAAAAAACTACTTATGGTATAACAAAATGCGTAACTTGGGAGCTCGAAAACTTCATGCCCCAATTCAAGCTCAACAACTTGTTTGCGCACTTCAGTTTTTACAGCTTTCAAGCTTGTGGCAGAGTTCACCACTACCCAGCGACCACATTTTTTTAACGGTCTACCCTGGAAAGGGATGCTCCAAGTATACATATATCTGATGTGAATCTCACTTTGAATTCTAACCGTCAATTGAAAGTAAATTATCTATATTAGGAGATATGGAATTCTTGATTTTTGAATTATTGTATTGACTTGAAATTTTATTCTCAACATATAAAGCCCAATTCAGATGCGGTAAATTTGAATGCTATTATACACAAAGGTAATTTAGGCAAAAACAAAACAAACATTAAATTGAATTCTGCTTAGAATGAATTAGTTGCATCTTTGGAATTTCCTTTGTCACTAAAAAATGCGTCAAAAACGTTCAAGAAAAATACTAAACAACAGCAATTTTTGCTTTATGCAAACAACAACAAAGTCGTTTGGAGTTTACGAATTCAAACTGAAAAAAGCAATGAAAAATAACAACGCTAATAAAAAATAAAACAATGCGAAACCAGCAACAACAAATACATGACTACACTTCATAGCTTTACGTGAATAATTTTCACTTTCTTTTCCTCAGTCACGGAACCAGTTTCGATGATTTCTTCCACTGTCTACATACATACACACATGCTGCCTACACCGTTGCCAGTGTTTCCTTATTTTCGCCTGTTTTCGCTTTTATTTGCATATGCCCTGTTGTGGATGTATACGTACATAAACAACTATTTATATATATATTTATATATACAACCTATTAAAATATCCATTTCGCGGTTTCAAAACTACTGTGCTGTATTTAGCCATCTGTCAAACTTAGCTACCAAACCAAACAGCTTTTGTTTTAAATAAAAGTCAGTCTCTTATGAAAATGGATCGCTAAGCACTGGTTTCGATCTTTAAGAGTAGAGTATGATGCAAATAACTAATCAATCGTTAGATCTTTAAAAAAATCTGAAGAGACTGGATCGGTTACGGCCATTGTAAGTCTGTGCAATACCGAATGTGTCCATTTATCGACGTTCTCAACAACTGGGATGTGCTTGCGGCATATTATGGCGTATTTTGCACCTGAATTTGCGCCCACGTCCATATAAAGTCCTGACCACAACAACTGAAACCAGCTGACTATTCAAGTACATACGTTGATTGCTCGCTTCAACAACAATCAGTGGAAGGCGATTTTCTGACAAAATTTCAATCTTTCAGCGGCGAGGCACATTTCTCACTCAGGGAATACGTAAATAAACAAAAAAGGAATTTCACGAAAATCAGCTCTAAATGCCTTTTATTTGCGTCTATTTTCGAAACCGCAAAATGTATAATCCTGTAAAATTTGTTTGCTTATTTTTAGTCACTTTTTTCTGGTACATATTTCATATGAGTACTTTTATTATTATCAAATATTATGTTTGACAACACAGCCCAGTCTATTTAGACATCCGAGATACAATAATTCGCATCCAGCTGGAAGTTGGTTGATTGTTCGAAACATCATATCGAAATCTACTTTACTAGTTATTAAAGATCAGATTTACTTGGTTATATTTGATTTTCTTTTAGGAATTTATTTTATTTTATTTTTTAATGTTATTTCAAATATAAGAATATATAATAAAGAAATTAAAATTTTTTTTTTAGATTCATTTGATTGAAATGCCAAATGAAATACACGTAATTAAGAAAAAAAGTTTTTTCTTTTCTTTCTTATTTATTGTTAATGTTTTCTTCAAAGAACCACGGTGTCGACCAAATTTAAAGCATTATTCTATTAAACTGTACAAATATATTGTCACTGAAAAAGTTTTGTGGAATTACGTACTTACACAATTTTTTCCCAATTAAGAGCAACACTCAGAAATTATCAAATTCAATTAGAAAATTTCTTACTTCTATACAAATTGTGTAAATTTTTACAGAGAAAAACGATCAATAGGAGCTTGCTAATGGCGATCAAAGACACTTTCGCTATATGGAAAATGTACACCTGTTTTATGTATGTATATATTACTTACAAAGGGCAAATCTATATAGAAGAATTTCTAACGCACTGACAACCACAAGTTTGTTGCTTAAATCTTTTGTCTGAAAGTGAGGGTGAAACTACTATGAAAGCAAAAGTATTCATTTTGCATCAAACTAGTTTATACGTGTTCATACATATGTCATGCGTGTGTTTGTGTATGTAAAGACATTATTTTCAAACATTTGACATTGAAAGTGTTTTTTTTTTTTTGTTCAATGTAGTAATATTAAAGTGTTCACATATTATTTACTGTTAAGCAAGTGAAGGTGACTAATATTAGCCCATGGGCATTATTTCAACATTTCTCGTCTTTGCCAATTTGTCAATGAGTTTTGTTTGCTTTTCGATGCTAAAAATTTAACACATATTTAGGTTTTCCCTAATTTTTATGCATTACAAAATTTTTGGATGTCAACGTATTGCTCATAGTTGTAGTGGACGTTCAAGTGCTTTGTACGATAAAAATAAAAAGGAAAAAAATGAAATGAAATAAAATAAAATAAATCAAATAAATGAAATTAACTGTACTTAAATTGAGAAAAAGAATAACAATATTAAACAAAATAAAATTAAATTAAACAAAGAAAATTAAAATTTTTATAGAAATTATTTCTTTTAGTTTTCAATTTCTCAAGAAAAACTTAGCTGCCTCAAAAAGATATATAATGCCTTTCGCTCCCTACTTACCACCGCAAAGAAGTAGATATGTTGTGGAGAAACGCATTTTGCCCAAAGGTATTAATGTTCAGGGGCCCTTTTTGGCCAATTCGGTGACTTCTGTTGCTCGTAAATTATTTATATTATCTGCACACACCCTTGTTGTCCCCTTGCTTCCGCTTGCTCAACAGTGGCCCGACCGGTAAACGTTTGTGTAGATCAAAGAGTTGGGAGGAGAAGAAATATGAAATTTTATTGCCGGAAGTGTTGTGAGATTTTTGCACTTTTGCTTTGGAAATCCTGAAGCTCAGATGGAGATTGTAGCTGGGTACTTCCAAACTGCAACCGACAGTGGTTAACAGCAACAAACTGGCCAGCAATGAGCTGCACTTGTGTTGCGTTGCGAAGCAGTAAGTGGCTGATCGGTTGACTTGTTAGTTGGTCATGGAATGAACGCCTGACACTTGGCAGCTATCGAGCTCTGCTCTTTCAGCGATTTGGCCTTCGTGCAATACGTTGTTCAAAGCGTGATAAAACGTTAACACGGCAATGAAAATGAAAGTGATTTGCAGCTAAATTTAACTTTTGCTGCGATTATTACTTATTTGCGCATTAAATTTTTTTCTCTTTAACTATTAATTTGTAATTTTATGCACTTGTTCGTTGCTGCGCGTTCGAATGTTTTGCAATTTATCGATTTGTCCAATTATTAACTTTGTTTGTTTTATTTGCAGCAAAAGTGTTGTATGTTGTTGTTTGTTGTTGTTGTTGTTGTTGTTGTTGTTGTCGTTGATGACGGATTTGTTGCTAATGAATGACGACTGAAGTATTTTCGTTTAGTTGCATTGCACACCTCACTCGGGGAGTAAAAGCGAATTAGCAATTGAGCTTATTACAGCATCAGATATGCTGCTATTGCTGTTTCTGTTTTTGTTGTTATTTTCTCGCTTCAACTCTTATAAAGGCAAACAAAATCGCGCATTAAATTGCAGCACTTAACAAACAAGCAAATATTAGTTTCACTTTCGTTTCGCTGTGAATTGCGTTAAGAAAACGAACACTACAACTACATATGTATGTGTGTATGTACGTGTATGTACTCGTATGTGTATAAATATGTGTATGCCAGTATGTATGAATTTTCGAAAAATTTAACACAACTCGTTCACTGTAACTGTATTCAACTCTTTAAATATTCGAGTTCCATAGACATATGAGCGTCGTTTCACAATTCACTTTGTTGTTTTTGTAAATAATTTAATTTTTTGATTCAATTTCTTCACAAACAAACAACACGAATTCCAGCAAAATATTAATCAATTTTATTCATTTTCAACGCATTCGTATGTACGAGTATGTACGTGTATATATGAAAATGCAAATTTGGCGTAAATATCCTCGTTTCGAAATTCATTCGTACCTTAGCGCGCACCTTTTTCAAACACCTTCCGTTGCCGCTTGTTGCACATCGCCAACTGATTTGTACTGCAAAAGCATTTTGTATTTTGTCGTTACCGTTTTGGACTTCCAACTGCTGGCCGCGCTGCTTGCTTTGTCTTGATATGTGTTTTTGCTGGTCGTCACGGTTATCTGCTGTACGCTTTTGTACACGTCAGTTGCTGCGCTTACGCTGGTGACGTTTGAGACGTTTGGGACGTTGAAAAATTGCCTTAGCTGTTGCGCCGACTCAGTTGGAGACGTAGCGGTTCGCCAAGCTCGCGTAGAGCTTCTAGTGCTTAAAAGTGCGGTATGGTTGTTTCAGGCAAACCAAACGTCACTAATATTGTCGCTGGGTCTATTGTTTGCGGAATTTTTATATATCACAGTGGTGCATTTTGCTAAGATGTTGCCTAAAAATAACTTCGAAAGTTCGTTTGGAAGACAGTATTCCCTAGACCGTATTGAATTTTTAGCGATTATTTAGCGCCAATCGGAAATATCAAGTATAGCCATATCCTTCCTACGGAGTGCTTTCACCGGCGGGTACTGCATGGTAAACTTTCAAAACTGTAGTATTCTTATCCATCCGGACCACATGACCTAGCTAGCGCATCCGCCAATTTCCTGATTTGTTGAACTTTGTCAATGTCGCAATACATCTCGAACAGCTGATCGTTTTATCAGCTGCGGTATTTCCCGTTGCCAGTGTGCAGTGTGCTTACCCTCTGATGAGCGACTAGTAGAGTTTCGTCTTCGTTCGTCGGAAAGGACTTTACCATTTTGAAAACCTTTTATTATAAAATTTTGATCCTGGCATTATATGGGAAATACTTTATCATTCAAATGAAATCCTCTCGGTCCCTTTAAGATAAATTTCAACCACATTTTGGCACAAATTGGGTGTTATCTCAGCCATAAACTGACGAATCAACATTGCTGAGCGTTAGAGGTTCATGCGCATACTCACGGTCTCAAATCGCACGATTTCACGAGAGATTACGTGGCCAGGATATTTATCTGGCAAAAATATCACATTCGCTTGTGTTGTGTGCCACCAAAATGACCTCTCTTCAATTATTTTACTGTTCTCTGAGCCCCAAATCAGGAAACTTTGTTTATATACGTATTCCCTGAGAGATAAATGTGCCCCGTTGTTCAAGCACCCGTTCGACGCATGCAGGGCATTGTGAAAGGCCAAAGCGTGCCTTAAGAACAACTTAGTTCTGAAAACGCCGGAAAATAGACACATTCGAGTCTTTGTCTACGCTTCATTTAAAGTAGCCTTAGAATATCTGTAACCGATCCAGTGTTCTCAAAATTTCTTTAAGCTTTAACCATTTAGTTGACTAGCTGGGCGATAATGTGCTCCATAATCTCCTCTAAAAGTACGAGACCAGCCTACGTTTAAACCATCGTTAGTAGGTTTTAACAGTTTTAACGCATTGTGCCGATTGTGAAGTGATCAATTTTGACAAATGTCGGACTTTTAACTAAACCCAAAAAATATATTTGGTGTGACAGTTAAGTGCAACAGTTCTCAAAATACACCCCTGTACTTTGAAACCACGAAATGAATAGCCCACTACATGAGGTTTTCTGTAAAACAAAATTTTCAGCTCTAATTTTTACACATACAAAGGCACTATTCCTCACACTGTAGGCTGCTCAATATTGTTATTATTATTATATGACAATAACAATTTCCCATTGTGTTCAATAACAGCATAACTAACTGTGAGTATATTGAATATTCACTACACGCATACATACATATTGTAAAATTTTTCGTTATTTTTTATTTCTCTCCATTTTTATTTAACACAATGCACAATGCACAATACAAAGTTTCCTGACATTCACACCTTTTCTACAGGCTCTTCTCCTGGCAAAAAAAGTCATGCACCATAATCGTTTTACAAATTGGCTTTGTGTCCAGTAGTCCCCAACATAACTTGCATTGCAAATATTTGCGTATCTATGTATGCAAGAGAGTGAATTTAGTTGTCTACTTGCATTCGTTGTGCCACTTGTATTTGTCGCTGACTTTTGCTAGCTCTACACTTCTTTTGTCATCCACTGGCTTTGGTAGTTCAGAGAGGGTCGGGCTTGTGTATCGAAGAGTGCTTTTGTAAGTTCACTTTTGTAAATTCCACTTCCAATTAGTCGGCAAAACAACGCTGGTGAGCATTGCATGTGTGTAAGTAAGAATAAAAAAATTTTAACCAAAGAGCATTCAATAAGTATAATACAATACCATAGATTTATATAGTCTTATGTACATATGTATTACTCCAATTAAAATTTAATTTCACATCTAACTTTCTGTACATTTCTGTGTATGTACATATGTACATATTTGCATTGTTTTAATTGCATTAAATGGGCTGCATGGCCTACCTTCAACCACCACTTGCGGATTTTCACGGTCATTAGTTGCTGTCATCTATGTATTGCTGTTCAACACTCGTCCGCACATATAAATATGAGTGAGTAAATTCGATTTACTTTAATTTGCTTAAAAATACATACACTCTCACACCCACACAAAATACTTATATATACAATACAAGTATATGCATATATGTATAGCTCAACTATTGCGAGTTAGCAATTTTTAGGAATTTCCAAAAATATGGGTTTTCCAAAGCTTATTTATTTAACACTTGAAGGCATCGCGCACCGCGTCTAATACTCGGTCGACATAATCGCCCAGCAGAGTCGGTAATTCGAGCAACCATGGATCGGTTTCGCACTGTGCTCCCTCCAGTGGATGATGCAGATCCTCAGAGATAACGAACAGTGTGAGCCGCAGGCGCAATCACAGCTATGGAGCCAAGTGGCGAAGAAGGCCCGAAGGACTCTATCTGCCATCGAGCGCCACAGTTTGAGTTGTGATAATCCAACCGTGAAAGAGTTGAAACCGAACGACCATCAAGCGTGTCTCATGTTCAGTCATACGAGATGGTCATCGATACCGATTTTTCAACAGAAAATTATGCTAAATCGCTTAGAAGCTAACTTTGGGTTGAATGGTCATAATGTTACAGCAAATGCAGAATGATTTACACTGATAAGGTTTAGTTCACTTAGAATACGGTATCTTATCAGCTCCATAATAGATAGCGGAGTAGCAGCGTGGGTATACTCCAGGGACCTTAACATCTCTCTCCCTATTCGTCTACCAGACTTGACTAACATTTTCCAAGAGGAAGTACTAGGTGTAAAGTAAGAACTAAAGTCGTATTAAATTCAGGAAAAGCAGCTGAAACGATTTTGGGACGAGTCTCTCTTTGATATTTTTCCATCAAATTTATCCACAGTTTATTTTAACTTGCTTCTATAAGGAGCTTTCTATTCCAAAGTAATGCAAATCAGACTGGAAAACCAATCTGTTCATCCAACAGCCGATTGCCGGTATTTCGTACTGTCATACAGCGCTTATTGAGGGACTTTCCCAAGTATCTCATTTCATAATCTTTGACTTAAATCTCTGAATCAAACCTTGTTCACTAAGTAATACAACTTCAAGCGCACATACAGAGGCTGAGTCGACGAAAAAAAAATAATAATAAAAAATAAATAAATAATAAATCAAAAACTCTGCAGATAATCGCAACTCAAGGACATTTCCTACGAAATAAATTTGTGGTCAATATTTTCTATCACAGTTGTCACTTTATTGTTTCTTTGTTTTATACCAGTCAAGTGTAGTAAAATATTTGCCATAATAATATATTTATTGACAGTTAAAAAGTGTTTACTTCCATCTCAGCGGACTGAGAGACGGACTGAGAGACGGACTGACTTGACTGGGTTTTCAGCTTCGGTTTTGGTATTAAAGTACAAAAATAACTAAACCACATACACATATACACGTATATACTCATAAACGAAAGCGAAATTATTTGAACAACAACATACAGTCAATACCGTAAAAAATTAACATTTTAAGTAGGCCACGACGATGTCGCGCGATGCTTCAGCTCTGCCTGTTTTCGAGTGCTTCCATAAGTTTCGTCTGCCTTGTAGTTTATATTTCATATACATACGAGTATATTTTTTATCTTTTTCTTTTTAATGTGTGAATGAATCATATGGGTAGCTGCCGCCATGACGCCGAGGTTGGGGCAGACGCCCGCATCACTTTCAGTTTTTACGGTTTGCCAATGGGTTGCAGCATTTGTTCAACATTTATCCATATATACTTTCATACATTTTACATATGTAGCTATATACATACATATATGCATTTGTTGGCTTATTTTTATGCGTTTAAGGTGTGTGTGCTGAATTCAAAGTTGCGTAAATGTCCGGACGGAGTGCCCCTCCACGACACTTAGTCAGCTACTCATTCAATAACAGTTCAATGCAGTTTAGATCGAAGGTCTTTTGTCAAATTGGGAATCTAAAAATTAAAACTGTTTTTATTTGATCATTGCCAGGCTGAAACTAATAATAATATTTATTTTTTTTTTCAAAAGCCACTTGAAATCTACTCTCACATCTCCCATCATGATTTTCAAGTTAGAAACAATTTTATATATCTAGGAACCAGCGTTAAAGGAGAATTACGTTTGCCAAGAGTTTCTACTTTGGACTGAATAATCAATTGCCAAGTAAAGTCCTCTCTCGACGAAAAAAAACCGAATCCTACAAGTCGCTCAACAGGCCAATCCTACTTAATGGTGGAGAAGCGTAGATCATGACAGCAACCGACGAGTACCCATTAGAAGTTTTCGAGAGAAAGATTTTACGGAAATTCACGCATTGCAGCGGCGAGTAACGCAGACGATGATAGGATGACCTCTACGAGATATGCGACGACATTAACGTAGTTCGTTGGCTAGGTCATAACGTCCGCATAGTCGAAGTATTTCACCTTTAAAAGTATACGATGCAGAAGCAGAGGAATAGGAGGACCTCCACTAATTTGAAGAGATCATGTAGAGTTTCTGGCTACAATCGCTGTCTTATACATACATTACCATACACTTAAGAGTACGCCAGCTATTCTGCTCATATCTTGGCGTCCACCTCAGTATTGGCAGCCATAAGCTAAAAATATCGACACCTTTGAAGATTTTCTAGTTCTCCTAATTGACTCCAGAAAAATAAAGAATGCATAGCATAAGTCCAGCGAGTTATAACACTGAAATAATCAAGCAAGCATGAAGTGCTGATCAGAGGAGGTGAAAGAAGAGGATTTTCAATCCATACGAAGAAAAGTACTTAGTAAATAAGTAAAATCAAAGCGATTTCTTTTTTTAAATTCTTCAATGAACCAAAATTTCTTGCGGTGTAAAAATCTAAGATTTGTGCATACTTATAGGCTTATATCAGCAATACAGTGCGTCTCAAGCGCATTAAACAATAAAAAGTTTCAATAAAAATGTTAATTAACCATTTTGTTGGATGACCTTTAGCAAAATTCCACATTCAAAGAAATCTTAGTTGCAGTAGGATCCAAAGTTTTACTATAAAAATTTCTATGAAGAGCGAAACAAATGTTAATCGGATGGGGCTAAGGCACAATTTGCAATTAAGCTATATTAACTTTTGCGGGGTCATCAGAGATGTGTGGGGTGTGGTATTATTTCAGTTCTCGTCATTTCTATTTGATTCTTTTCGTTCAGTTCAGCTCAAACACTACTGCATTAGGTGGTCAAGCCATACATCTCCCGTTAACTTTTTTAGCACAAAATATGATCTTTCTAACGCGATCTAGCGTAATCTATTGCAAAAATACTGCATTCTTTTTTAATAGACCTAATATTTCTTAAAAACCCCCACTATAGAATATTTTGAAAAGTAAAACTATTGAAATGTAATTTCCTTTTAATACTCTGATTTATTAAATTTAATATTTTTTTTTTTGTATTACAATAATTGTTTTATATATTTTTTATTTTTATTAATTTTTTTCGTTTTCCATTACACAATACATGTTGTTCATAAACATATTTATATTTTCAATTTCCACGAACGCTTTTAAGGGTCATAGCTGTTTTCAAGTTCTAAACGCATTTGAGCGTGCTTCCTTTTCTTTTTCTCCACTCTCCCACTTTCCATGCACAGACGTGTGTGTATGTATGCACTTATAGAGCAGAAAATACTTAAAGAATACTTTGGTCGCAAAATAAAATTCAATACAATAAAAATGGAAAAAATACGCATGTATGTATGCATGCGTTCATATATGAGTCTCATTTTCTACGAGTGCCGTTATAATAAATATTTTTTAAAGGCAAAACATCATTATTTATAAATAAAGTTTATAAATTTAAAATATGTATATATGTTCGCGGCTTCATATTTTATATTAATTTTATTAATATAATAATAATTGTTATTATTTTATATATATCAAATTCAATGTTATTATTGTTTGTCTAACATTTTCGTTTATAAGTAAAACACTTGCATTTTTTTTTTTTTAAATAAGTAGTAAGCTAATACATATATAGTAAATACATAATAATTAAATGATCACATTCTATTTAATAATATAATATTTTTAGCGGTTTCAGCTACATTTAAAAATTAAATTCGCATTTAAAATGCCATTTCTAAAGGTTTTATTTTTTTAAGCCGAAAAATACTTATAAATGAACGCTTTTGGCAAGGAAACCAATTTTTCTATGGAAAACGTGTATTGCATGAGTGACTGTTTTCGTAAATATAATAATAAAAAATAATAAAAAATGTGAATATGACAATTTTTTTTATGATGAACCCAACGAAGTTATGTTAGTTTTAAAAACTAAGCATGAAATTTGTATAATGTAATGGAAATTAATCATGGGAAAATGACGCAAGCAAGCCAAACAGAACTGAGACTGCATTTGTTATTAACTAATGAGAGTTATCAAGTTTCTTATTAGTGCACTTTCATATATATATTTTTCTAAAACATGCTTCAAAATACGCATGTCTTGCACGTGTATATATGTATAGGCCTTTACGTATGTACGTGGGCTAATGCACGAAAGAAATTAAATGATCAAAAAACCTTATACTTCACTATACAATTTCGCTAATAATTTGGCAATGAGTGCCATATGACAGTCATTTAGTTTATAAAAATTACTGTGAGACAAGATTTCGCTATATTATGACAATTATTCATATGTACATATGTATAAATTACAATTTATGTATATGTTGATAAAATGTATTGTTGCTCTCATTGTAATGATTGATTTACATATGTATGTAGTATGTAAGTAATATATTTTGCTAAATACTCAAAGCTTGAAATGTAATGATTGTTAATGTTTTTTATATTAATTCTTCGGTTGATAGTTTGTTCCGTTAATATTTTAATATCACCATTTTCAGCATTAACATTGCGATTTATGTTTGTAAATAGTTCATTTCATTTCTACTTTGCAATAGTTATTAAAAAAAATTGTGAAAAACAATAGGCTTTACCGTTATTAACACTTTCACTTCAAAGGTTATTGTACACCTATCATAATGACTAATGAAATTTCGAAATGGATAATTGCAGTACTTTATACCAATCTGCCCCACCAAGTCATTTGGAAAATATCCGATAGCTTATATTATTCAAAAACTTCGTTTAAATTGTATGTTAAGTTTACTTGAAGTGCCTGCAATGTAAAGAAACTTAATAGCAAAATGCATCTTATAATCCTTTCTCGTACTTACGGATGGCTTGCGGACACGCACCGGCGAATGTACTCACTTTGTTGGTTGTTGAAACAGACGGACATAAAAGGTGTTGCACGCCAATAAGTCATGAAACATCGCTCCAAAGCACAGCTACACACATGTGTAAGCAGATTTGGTATAAACAATTGGACAATCGAAATGAAAGTCGGTATTTGTTGTTTTAAGTTTCGGAATTTTATTTTCGCAAATATCAAAATTGATATGCAAAAATGCCAAGCATACAATTTATTTCATTCCACACACAAAAATCGAAACATTTCCAATTGTTGTTTTTCATGCTTACAAAATGCTCTTACTACATACTAAGAGTACGCACGCGTTTTACGCTAAAATAAAGCAACTAACAGGCTTATTTTCTGATTTTACTGTTGATGTTACAAAAAAAAAAAATGATAAATACATAAATTTAAGTAAATAAAAATAAAATCATTCAATACATTTCCAAAATGAATGGTTTGGCGAAAAATAACACTTAAGTTTTCTTAAAAATGCCTAAAAAAATTTTCTCACATCTTGTTTGCTTGTTTGCTTATTTTCTGTTCTACAATGTTGTTTTTACATACTTTCTAACGCATATGAGATGTGTACTTGTTGTGTCTCAACCCATGCACTGACAGTTATGTTAATTTAAAATACTTTAGTTTCCACTGTAGTGTTGTATATTCGTTTTAAATTGTATGCATCATAATAAAATTATTCAAGTAAAATATTATTATTAACATAGCTTAGAAACTACTAAATTTAATATATTTTAGTACATACATTTTAGAAAAATGAAGGAAAGCTGCTTACATTTTATGGATTTCGCAGTTTTGTTTTATAATATTTCAATAAAAATATTGATTTTATATAAAGTTGATGCTTTTTGGCAAATATCAAATATGGAAATCTTAAGCGAATAACATCTCTTAAATCTCTTATGCTTTTTCACTTAACATTCTTGAAAATGAATTTTTTTAAGCGAATATCGAAAAATTTCGAAATTTGATCTTTAACTTGTTACAAGTTATTAATTTTTGCTTGCTTGCACTGCTTTTATTTGTATGTTTATACTTAAAAAAATTAGCAAAAAATTATTAACAAAAAAGAAGTTCTAAAAAAAAATACTTTTGAGTACAAAAAAAATTTGTAAGCAAAAAGTAGTAGATCACTTTATTAAATTTGATTCGAGAAGAACTAGTGACTGCCACAACTCTAGCCAGCTTAATACAAAACCTAGCTACATATGTTCAGTACAGCTGAACATTAAATACTAAACACTTTTTAAAGAGTGATATTTTATCGAAAAGCGGAACTAGTTTTAAGTGAAATCCATACAGCTTTTACATGGGGTTTCACCAATTTCGATCCTATCACATTGTGGCGTTCAAAACGGGAAAAAGAAGTTTTGAAAAATCACTCGACATCTCTCTCAATTCAGGAACTCTGAATGTCAATCTCAGAGCGCGCAATCCCTCAAATTATGTTCCGTTTACTTCTTAAGCCGAATAGAAACTACGATTAGCTGAAGATTACGAATGAGGCACATGAACTGCGCAAATTATTTGCTTAAAAAGAATTAGGCAAAATGTGTGGAACATTGCCAATGAAGCGAAGAGAGTGCGCATTTGGTACGCTTCGCTTGGACTCGTAAAAAAAACTCCAAAATTTTGAAGTTTGTGTTCGAATGTTTACAATTCTGTTACTCAAGCATATTGCTTGCCGTCATCAAAACAAGTTGATTGCCAAAGAATAACTACATTCTAATATCGCACTTGCATTTGATTTGTGTGTTTGCCTACTGATTCAATTAGTTGAAGTTGATGACTTCGAAAGTTGAAAGTTTTGGAGATTATTAAATTATATGCCGCTATTTACACACAAATAGTTACCAACAAAAACGTTTCTGTAAAATGTAGTATAAATTGTGCCAAAAGTCGCTATGATAAAAAACTTGATACAAAAACTAGGCAGTACAATTTCTTGAAATTTTCTTTAGCAACCCTAGAGCACAATTTATACCACATACACGCTGGTGTATGATTTCTCCTTTTTATTTCGATCTTATCCAAATTAAACTGCAAATGCAACCTTTAAGAGTCTCTTCTTTTAATCCATACAATTTTAGCGCTTCTTAATCGAGTTTGATTTCTAGTACTATGAGAATTTCACGTAAAACCTCGTACATTTTTTTAATTATGAATAAAATATTTTTGTACTTTTTACTTTTTTGTTAATTTTGTTTTACTACAAACTTAGTATTGTCTGATAAGTAAATCAAAACAAAATTTGGAATAAAACGGTTATTTTTCATTTTATCATATCTTCTGCATTTTTAATGAATATGTAGTAATATTTTACAAAGATAACGTTAAAGTATTGGCTGATTATTGTAGTGATGATATTTTTAATTTGCTTTGATATTTATAATCTAATTGAATACGTTTTTTTTCTCTTTTATTGTTTTTTTTTTTATTTTTGATTTTAAACTTTTGTATATATTTTGTTTTTGTTTTTTTTTTTTACCAGAAATAATTGAACAGAGTACTAATGATTAAAGAATAATACAAACATTGGGTGAACATAACAAAGCTCCTATTGATCGTATATTGTGAGTGTTCCGTAATCAATATTTATTAAAATTAACTTAAATTTTTGTTTTGGGATTTTTTTTATAAACTTTTAATGTTTTGGATTTTTTTTTTCGTGAGCGAACCCAAATTCTGTGTCACAGTCTATGTGGACACTTGCTCATCTCATCAACAGCAATTCGTAAACGGCGGCGGAGCAAAGGGATTTCTCGCCTCGTCTAGCCCGTCAAACTCGCATGCTTAGATTAGCTGTGCTAGGTGTTATCGAAGTGATTATTATGAATTTTGATGAATTCCGCCAAGAATTTTTTCGATCCACTTCTATAGTTCTTTGAATAAATGCGCCAGAACGGCATCAATCCTTGGTATGATGGTCCGCAACATTTGTTTTCTTTTTTATTTTTATTTTTTTTTTTTATTTTTTTTTCTATTTTTTCTTAATTTTGAAATAGAATTAAACATTTTCCCTATATATGCGCGCCGGTCTTTATATGTCTATCTTGGCTCGGCTAATACGCCTAGCTACCGCAACCTAGCCCATATTGTTTTTATTTATCTCCTGATAGTTTTCTTACCTTACGTACGTACATACATACATATATAAAAAGTCAAATTAAAAATCTTCCATAATTATGATGCATAGCATATATACACACATTACACAGTGGCTGGAGTTGAATATTGTTGAAAATATATTATTTTGATAACTGCTGACTCCTCGCTTACGTTGATGGATTTAATTTCTTCTTCTTTACTTTAAATTTATTATTTAAAAAAAAAATCAAAATGGCTGTTTAGCTGTTTTTGCTTTCATGCAGGATATGTCGTTGGTGTCGCTTGTTAGTGGTTTTGCAGCACTTGTTGTTGTAGTTACTTTATTGTGTTCCTACTTTCAAACATTTCCTTTGTATTCCTTTGATTGAAATTTAGTCCACAACTTTTCTAGCCATGCGAAACAAAATATTTTGTTTATCTTTTTTTTTTTGCGACTCCTCTTATCAAACCGTCTAACCGAAAACAATATCCTGCAGTTATTTGTCGGATTTCTAAGCAAAAATCTGTCGTTTTCTCCGCATCCTGCTATGCGTGTGCAAAGTACTAACACTGTTCAAAGATTGGAATTATGGGTGATGTTGGCCAGTCCTCCTCCTCTTCGGAACTAACGCTCTCGGTTCTGTAAAAAAAATATAAATCCCATTAAATTGGTTTGAAAATATAAATATAATATATATTACTAAGTACTGATACGTTTATAATGATTTTGCAAATTTTATTTTTTAATGATTTTTTACAGCCTGATAAGATATGGTTAATATTGCAAAAAGAAGATAGCTAATTTTTAATTTCCAATAATTTCGCATGACTCGTTTAGGTGCAATGAACTTCTCTGGTTAGATATTTTTCATTTAATTTACTAGAGTTGCTCGATTCGAATTGTTAACGTCAGCAGTGTGACAAATTCGAACACCTACGCAAACAACTGATATTTAAAAATTAAAGAAAACCAATTTTACGTAAACAATTCAAAAATACTGAAATAATATATGAATTTACTTATATGCATATACATAATTGGTGCTTTATAATAAAATAAATAATTAAAAAAAAAAAACCATGTTCTAGAAACTTTTCCAGACATTTTTATGATTATTTTTTAATTATATTTTTTGGCTCACACCTTTCAAAAGCGCGTCTATTGTGCTGCCAATCGAAAGCGAAAGCAATATTAGTACATATACAGAGATAGTGCTGCGAAAAAAAGCACTTACAACAACAATATGTGTCTAATATGCTTGTACATGATCATGTATAGCCGTAAAGCGGATGTTTTTAGCACACTTTCATACAATCTTAGCTACTTATGTTCATATATACATACATATGTACATCAATAAACAGTTCGTAGTTGTAGGCAAATATTTACCAAAAATGCTTTAGACTATATATAAAACTTATTGGCTCTTTAGATTTGCATATTTTTCTGCTTGTTTTGTAAACACATTTTTCACTACTTAAAAATTCAGCATAAATAGCATGACCACATTGAAGCGATAAACAATGAAAGCGCATAAAATTTGCCGCAAGTAAACAGCTTTCTAGCTTTAAGCTTTTTCTAAAGTTCTTTCTGTCCAAAGCGTAATTTATTTATGTAATCGCGAAAAATACTTCCAAAAGTTGGTGCAGATAAGAAATTTTGAATCGGTAAATAAGTAAATAGATAATTCCACTATTATATAATAATACGACTTAATTACCACTTAGCTTGAGAATATTATAAAAAAATTTACTGTTACTTTGTAAAACTTACCTTGAACGGCAGCCATCATCCATGGCGTTCGCATGGCCCTCATCGATTGTGGGCAGGTCGGTTGAAAAACGATTGGTTGGGCGCAATACTTTCAGCGTACGGCTAGACAATTTCCAAACTAAGCGTTGCTTGTACGGCTGCTTATTTTGTCCGTTGTAGTGAGATAATATTTCAGCCACAATGGAGAAGCCACCGCTGAATACACGATCGGGAATCTGAGGAAAAAGTCATTAAAGGAAAGCATTAGTTATCGCCTGTTTAAATACATATTTACATGCATTTGTATGTATTTTGGTCATATTGTGGACAATTTACCCGCAAATATTTCTGTAGGAAGAGTATATAATCGAATACGGGCTTCAGTTCGGGCCGCTCGCGTTTGTAAGACGCCTTAATATGGAAATCTAAATGCAGACACATCAAGACCAAGGCCAAGGTTGAAGGTGCTATAACAGTGGTCTTAACATCGCACAATAAATTCTCCAAACGATTTTCCAAGTCCTCCAATTTGATCATACGTTGATAGAATTCATAGAATTCGTCACATACCTCTTTTGCCAAGTTACGGAAAAGAGCGTAGAAAACACGCAGGATAGTGACGGCCGTGACCGGTGTGGTGCCCATTTGAACACCCAATTTGTTCGCTATAACACCGGCCATACGCTCCAAATCACCGGCAGTGCAACCACACTATTGAAAGGGAAGTCAAGAAAAATACCATTATTTTGCAAATTGAACTCCAAGTATGTATGAGGAAGTTAATTTTCTTTTAGAGAAGCAAGCCATTTATACAAGTACTTTGCGCAATCTTACCTGAGAGATAGTTACTAATTCTTCCGCGGGTATTGGTTTTAATCCTAGCTGCTTGATAGCCAAGTGAAATGAGGCAACACTCATGCAGGCCATATGCTTCGGCTTCACGGCCATGCGGTCTAGGAAGCGATCCACAAGGCTCATTGCTGAGAATAGCACATCGGAGGGCAGCTCATACCACATTTTAAGGCAACGTAAAACATACGCGGAGCCATCACGTCCACCGGCAGTCACTTCACGCTGAAATTTTGGAGGAATTAAAAAAAAACTTCAGTTTTAGTTTCAGTTTCTATTTAAAAGACCTTTAAATTTCATGTTATTGCTTTCGACATTTGAAATAAGATTTCTTTACTCCTCGCAACTCACCTTGGATTCTCTCGGCATCAGCAACACAGTGTGGTATTTATCCTGCAGTACATTGTACTCGTTCAGCATGCGGTACAAATCTTCAGACGGTACACCGATCAACTCGTTCTCCTTCTTAGCTGGGGCATCGTTGGCGCTGTTGGCATCACTATTGGTAGCGCCATTGTTGTTGCTACTCATATTAGAGTTGTTGTTTTTCTTCATATTCCTATTCTCATTGTCCATTAACGAAGACTTCAATGGTTGGTTCATCATGTTAGCAGGTGTTTGTTGTTGTTGTTCTAGCTCATATTTTTGATATTCCAAGCCAGCAGCACCCGGTGTTCCATACCGGCCCTCGTCAGACATCCTCCACTCATCCACATCTACATCCACGGCATGCATTGCTGCACCACCGCTTCCATTCGCCACCGCTGCCGCCAACATCGTTGAATTCATAGCTCCCGCCACCGATTCCCCGCCGCCCATCGCACCACCATTCGACGATAAATGTTGATTATGATGATAATGCAATTGATGATCCTCATCGTCCTCTTGCAGGACATTGATATTGTTGATGTTCATGTTGTCCATGTTCGAGGAGGATGATAAATCTGATTGGTAGTGATGATTGTTGATGAGTGCGATGTTGTTGTTGGCGGGTAATCCAGTCAGTGGCGAAACCGACGACGACATCGATGACCGCTGCTGCATCAACTCCTGCTGGACGTCAAAGCCGTAACAGTTGCCGTTCACGTAGTTATTGCACTCGCCCAAACTCAAATTGCTATTGTAATTGTTGACGTTGGTGGCGTTGAGATTGGCGTTGGCGTTCGCGTTGGCGTTGGCGTTAACGTTTACGGCAAACTGATTGTACAACTGCTGTTGTTGTTGTTGTTGTTGCTGTTGCTGTTGTTGGAATTGGTGGTATTGCTCTTCTTGTTGTAGAGTATTTGACAAACCACTATCAACGACGGCGAAATTGGCGGCAGCAGAGTAGCATACAGGGACAGACATTGTGAGGGCTGGCCTAGTACCTAGTTTTATGAATTGAATTGGTTGGTTTTGGTTTAAGAGATTGAAATTAACGTTACAAATGATTTGGTTTTGTAAAATTGCAATACTCAAAAATGCGCGTCCTCAACTTTCTTTTACGTAGATTCTCTTTTAGTTACGGTAATAGGCCAACAAAAAAATTTGTTTGATTTTATTTTCAGCCAAAAGTGGAGAATTTGATTTGATTCAATTTCTTAAGCTTACGCTACCTTTTCTGTGGTAGGTAATTGTAACGATATCAGCGAGAAGCACCACAAAAGCGATAGCTCGTCTTTTCAATGAATGGACTCTCTCAATCTCTAGCTTAAGAAAACTTCTCTGTCGAATTTCCACACTCAACAAACGAAACGAAACACGTTCGTTTGCAAAACACAAATTCTCCCGAAAAATACAAAGTAAGAAACTAAAATGCGCCACAAAAACCACTTTCCGAAATAAATGAAACGAAATATATTATATGTAGCCGCTGGTACACTCTCCTCGACGACGGGATGTTTAAATGATATAACGGTATGGGTGGGTGGGTATGTGGATTACCTTTGCAATTTTAATTACAAAGCTGCACAATTTAGTTATTCTTACCGACCGAAAATAAAATTTTTAGCTTGCTACTTGTGTCGTACACACCGGTCACAATGACAGCAGTTCAGCGTAAGCTTGCACTCAGATCAGTTGCGGAGAACAGTCAAAATGCTGCTAATGCTCAACTACTTTTGCGTACAAAGGACCTTCGTACAATTCCTTTCCCCTATTTTTTAGATGGAGGAAAATAGACAATTTGCAAGCAACAAACAAATAAAACCCTCAAGAGATTTTTAAAAATTATTATTATTTTAATAAATAACTTGTCCCTTTAATAATGGGGCACCAAAGTGAAATTCACTTTGATTTTCAAATTAGATTTGGAGAAAAAAGCACTGTTTAGGTTTATTATGTGAGCTTCGCAGCTTTTTTACGATAATAAACTTTTGCGCCTTTTAATTATAATTTGTTTTTTTTTTTTTTTTTTGTTTTATATAATAAATATATTTGTGTGTTTGTGTGAAACACAATAGATATGCTTGAATAATTGCGATTCTTGTATAAATTTTAGAAAAATTCTCAAATTGTTGTTCAGAGTAGTAGAGAAGACTCGTAGATAACTCGTTTCTCTCTCTTCAAATATTTGTTAATCCTTTTTTTAGCTAAAAACTTACGTTCTGTTTGGGGGAAATGATTGAAAAGAAAATATTTCGGTTAAAATGTGTACGAAATTGTATGATATCATGAGAATTTATAGTGAGGAATGTTCATATAGCTGGAAAAAAGCGTTTTTGATTATAGCATTACGAAGACGAACTGAAAAGTATTTGTTATAATTATATATATATATTATATGAACCAAAATATTAATATATCAATATAAGTCCTATATAGAAAACTGAGTTTCTTAAAATTGGAAAGATTTCAATGAGATGGATATTATAAAAAAAAAAATGTACTTGGTTTGAAAACAAATAAACTTGAAATATTCTAACTTAGCAACTAAACTATTATATATAATTGAAAAGTAAAAACATAAATAAATTATATTTGCGTAAATATATATTTTCAGCTACACGTTATTTTAGTAATTTTTCTGCTCTAAACATCAATATCTCTAATCCCTAATATTTCAATCTGATCAAAAAAGATTGTAAGAAATATTTAATTATACAAAAGTTTAAAAAATAATAATAATTGCATTTGCAAATAAACCTTGGGTACAGTCATTGATCTATAGACCCTAAGATATATCTAAGATTACAAAATTGTATTTGTAATGAATTCTACAAACTTTTTGTCATTTGCAAAATTAGCTTTATTTTATTTCCCAGTTTCTAATTATACAACAAAACTTAGGAAAAAATATTGGCATGTTGACAATCAGTTTGTTTACAAACTATACCTTTTCAAGGATATGCGACAATGACGGCGTAGGCAACGAAGAAGGGTGTAGGTAGTGCGTGGGCTTTGATGTTTATTATTCAGAAAGAAGATTTCAAAACGAATTAAATAATGAACTTCTATCTCATATATACATATGTATATATATAAAAGTATATATTTATTTTTCTAATTTTGTTGTTATATATGATTATTTATGATTTTATTTTTTTTATAATTTTTCAAATTTAATTCATACGAAAGAATATACGTGTATAAAAGAGATGCAGAAAAAATCCAATTAAGGAAAGAAATTGTGTAAAAGTAGTGATTGAAAATTAAAACAGATTTCAGATGCTGCCACAATATGCGAGTACATTAATGTTAAAGTTCAGAAATTGGCTCGCAAAGCGTATGGTGGTAGCTAGCCAGCGGAGCGAGCAGTTGTTGAACTTTTTATGTGGTGTGATGTTGAGGAAATAAACGCTATGAAGCAGAAACAAAAGCCTGTACCAGAGAATAGTTTACACTGCAAATGGGGATACGACTAGGAATGTAATTGAAGAAAAAAGAAAACAAAATAAATTGAAATGGTTGCAAGCAGCGCACAAACTCTCCTCAACTATAATTTATCTAACGGATGTTGTTGCAAAGTGGTGCAGCATAACAGCAAAGCAACGCACGCCAGCCAGCAGCTGCCCACAGCTGATAGTTGTGGTGTTGACTGCTATCTGGAGCGTTGGCACGAACAGATGCACTTATGCATCGCATACACGTACGTGCATAATACGCTACTCCAATGATAGCACGAACTACACACACACTCACATATTGCGCCTCCAGAGCTGTGTAGTATGTAATTGAAATTACAATTTGTACATATTTACATATTTTTTTTACTATTTTTACGCGAGCACAGTCCTCGTTAGGAAGCGTAAATAAAGGAAATGTTGAAATATTTATAACAGCAAAGTCAGCTCTTAGTTTATTCAATTCACTTTATTTTTGTGCACCTGTTTGTACATATGTACTTAAATACAACCAAACTAAAACCAACCAAAAATAGACAAACTTAAAAAACCTACGAAAAGATTGAATTGCCTATACAAACAACAACCACAAGTGATGATTGCAGCAATTTGTTGTATACGTTCGCAGCCAAACGTCAATAGCATAGAGTTGCATGTGCGTGCATACATATGTATGTATGTACTCTGTATGAATATTCAATCAAACAACAGAAAAGCAAATGAGGTTGGGTAAATACTGTAGGAAAATATAAATCATGAAACGCAAATGAAGGCACGTACATATTTCAAAATTTAATGACTGTCAGTACGTACGTACATTTGAATACGTTTTTCTTTTGCAGTTGCTGAGTTACGTACTGCATTAAATGTAAAAAAAAAAACCAAATAAGAAAATTAAAAACTAACACACACAACCGATTGATTGCGTAGCTGACAGAAATGAATGTAACTTGTCGATTTCTTAGCGGTAAAAGTCATAATTTATATGAGCAGAAATAATTATGTTAAAACTAAACATTCAAAAAATTCAGTTTTTTCCCTCAGCATTCTCTATTTAACTGAACAAAAAATATTTAATAATCCGTTTTGAATTTGTTAAAATTACTAGAGACGAAAGCAAGGATTTCGAGAGTAAACATCAATTCGAGCAAACATGTTGTCCAGCACACTCAACCAAAATTGCATACATAAAAAATGCGCGAGGTTACAGTTATATCGGATTTATTGAGAGCAGACTCATCAATATTACACACATAAATCAAAATCTTAGATAAAATGCGAATAAACGAGAAGGCGAATCTTGTTTTAAATTACTTACAAAATAAAAATAAATTTAAAAAAAAAAATATTATAACAAAAACCGTCTGTATTTACCAGCATTGAACTGAGCGATTTTTAAATAACTGTTAAAAAATTAAAAAATGGAAAACCAAACAAAAGGAAACCAGTATGTACACAGGTTTTGTTGCGAACGAAAACAAAACATAAATAAATTTATATATAGACATAAAGAATAAAAATTTCAATGATATTCAAAACGTTTTATATGCATGAAATAAAAAAAAAAAATTTGTAAAAATTTCAAATTACCACCACCACAAAACGAAGCGCAAAAACAAGGCCAACCTGTTACGTTTACGATGTTGTTGCGAGTGCAACAACCAGCGTACAGAGTACACTGACTTTGAAAACAAAGGTTAAATACGGCGCTAGATGTGTTGCATTTAAATGCGATTGAAAATACACAAATTCGCTGCCCAATTCGCTAAACGCATAGTGATTAATCGCTGAAAATCCGTGAGTATTAACAGGTGGTTCTTGAAATTATAATAAAAAAATATATATATATATTAATAATCAAAAGATATTTGACTCATTTTCTAAAGCAGAAAGTGTGATATTTGACGTCAATTATGTTGGTTGAAAAAGGAAACCAGCTGGAGCTTCCGCTTAATCATAAGTAAGACATTTATGAATAATAAACGAAAAAAAAAATTAAAAAAAAAAAACCAGAAGTGATTGAAAACATTTAAACAAAATATTGATTGAAAAAAAAAAAAAAAAAAAGCCAACTCAAACAAAACAATCTGAACTTCAAGGTCGCTTAATACAAACTAATCGACCAAAACAAGTTGATTGAAAACTCTAAAAAAAAAAGCTAATATATAATGTGTGCATATAATAGTGTTTAGTTTTAAATTCATAAATACTCACAAATGCTGACAAAAAAAAACTAAAACAAAAAAAACAAAATTGTTGAAACTTTCAGTCAAGAAAAGTTGTAAGAGTTCTGAGTTAAATTTTCGCTCTATTTTGCTGAAAAACTGAGACACGATAACTCGCAGACTGAATTTGCTAGCAGAAAAATAGCAGCGTAAGCAACAAAGAATACAATTTTGCGTGTGCCATTATTAGCTGCGATAACTTTACGGAAAAGTACTGGCAAGCCGAATGTGAGGTACGAAGAAGAAACGAAAATTCAGGTCGATAACTTGCAAATGACGAAGTTGGCGAAAGAGAAGAAGAGCAAAGGTAGCTACACACAA